CACCATTATAAGATTAGCATTCTTTGTATTTGCATTTAATCCAGATTTTTATTATATGACTGCATATTTGGAACAGTAGAGTACTCATATTCTGTTTTTACTCTCTCTGTAACGTCAAATGTCATGATTTTCATGATTTTTTTTATAATAAAACTTCTTAACATTCACTTTTGTTACCAGGCTTTCTGGAAACAAGACAATGACAAGTATCAGTATGGCTTTCAAGCTGTTTTAGAAAACAATGAGCTTGGGCCAGTTGGTATTGTGTATGATGCATCATCAGGCCGGGGAAATCCTGCTCTAGCTGGTTTCATTTCTTCCTCTCAGGGTCTGGATAGTGATGTTAGTATTTCATAAATAATTGAATGGAAAAACAAAACTTGCTCTTTTTTCATTCTTTTTTTGATAACTGAGGAGGGATGTGTGTTATGCATAAACTACATAAATTGATAAATATACATGGTAGAGAATTTATATATTGTCAAAGGAAAACAACTCTGAGTGAAATGTTTGAGACTTTTTTAGTACTCATATGGGAAAGTGGTCTAATGTTTAATCATTTGTAAGTTAAAGGTGTCACATTGCAGCTGCTGCCTAGTTTGTTTTTGTGTGGCCTGTTAATTAGATTCAAATATTGGCCTGTCAATTAGATACACATATTTAAAGACAAGAGTGGTTCAATATAACAACTTGTTGCTAGTAATAAACACTGGATTTTTCTAAAAAAAACTTCAGTCATTATTTTTTATTTTTTTCTAGCCTAAAAACAGAAGAGCTATCATCATGAGATTAATTGAAAACCACTTGGGTCCAGACTGTCATAAGATTTTAGAGTTTTCTCAGATGGACTGGAGCAAGGAACCATTTAATGGGGGATGTTTTTTGAAGTCATTAATGCCCGGAACTACCAAATATTTCAACAGTGAGCTGAGGGAACCTTTTGACAGGTTTGATCAATAACAAACACTACAATAGAAAATTAATACTTGACAGACTTTGTGCCATTAGATGACAAAATCTTTAGAAAAGTTTAAACCTGATAAACCCTTTCAAAGCTTGAATGAAAAAATGCAACTACTATGTACAGGATACATTTTGCTGGGACAGAAACTGCTACTGTTTGGTGTGGTTTTATGAATGGTGCCGTACAGTCAGGTTTCAGAGCAGCAACTGAGGTACAACATTTTATTATAAAGAATATTTCAGTTTTTTTATTTTACTAATGTATAAGCAAGTTTATTTACTTTTAAGATTATATTTTACAAATAAAAAAATATTGGATAGAAATAAATACTACTGGAAAGAATATTTGATAAGAATACTTGAATACCACTGCAAAGAACATTGGATAACAATATTTAAATATTACTGGAAAGAATACTGGATAAAAATCCTTGAATATACAGGAGCACACATACATTCGTTCTCACAGTTGACAAACTTAGTTCCAGCTTACTTACTTCTTGGTAGCACACTGAACACCTCAATTACACAACATATAGTCTCCAGTCAGTAGGCCAAATCCAAAGAGGCATGTAAAACATGATTAATTGCTCACACAGTTATGTCCATTGGCCAGGTAAACTACTATCATATGAAGTTCATTCCAAACAAAATATACTTTAAGTACAATCTTTTACGGGTCTAATTACTAAATAAATAAATAAAATACTTTTTATATAACTGACAGGTTCTCTATCATCTTCGCCCTTTGATAATTACATCACCTGATCCAGAGGCGCACCATCTCTCAGAGACCAGTTCTGAGACTCATCAAGTGAACCACAACTGGATGACCTGGGCTGCAGTTGGCATGGGTGTAGTTTCTGCCGTCTATTTCATATCTAAGAGTAATAATATGGCATCGTCTGCGACATTTGTAAAAAACATACGACTCGTATTTGATGCCAGTTAATGGAAAATAGTTTGAATTTTAATCCGGTGGTAAGCAATACCCATGATAAAAAGATATAAATATTAGTCTTTCATGGTTATTTTGTTAGACAATTATATGCTAGTAATTAAAATATTTATTTTGTTTGTCATGTTGTTATGTTCGATATTGTTGATGCAATAGCAAAATAAATAAAATTGCAATTCTAAAATCACATGGTTGATGATGTAATTACTAAATAGTTAACTAACACCTGCAGCCTCTGGTATAAAAAGACATCAGTTGGAAACAAGTTAGCAATGACATTAAAGATCTCCATGTTTTTCTTTAATGTGTAAGTAATTTATTTCAGAAGGAATTTTTTTTAACCAAAGTGCAATATTGTTTTTTTTTATCAATAATTTTTATTATCTGTTGCCGGCAAATAATTTTTTTTTCTTATTTTTTATAATAGAGTACAAAGAGCTGCAGTAGGTCCAATTTTTCACAATTTCAATGTTATTGTATTAGTCATTCCACTAGCTTGACTAATTGCCTAAAGCTTTTTCATACAAGTTTGGAGCAATTTGTTTTCAATTTAGCAAGATTAACTCTAACATTTAAAGTATTTTATTTTTATAAAGAATATATATCTTACATCATACTTCCATGGGCTTGCTATTGTTATTTATTGGGTGTAAAAGTTCTGCACCTATAATGCTTTTGCAAAGAATTCTATGTATATTTTTCGTGAGAATACTGCATTACAATGTTGTTTACTAAACATGTAAAAATCCTTTAAATTTTTATCTGTACAAGCATTATCAAATCATATTTGAAATCTAAATAAAAAGTTTATGTGAAATATTTTCATGAAAATAAATGCTGTCAATATTTTAATTATACCAATTCTAGTCTAGGTCTACTGATATTGTCAGCAGTATATTCTGGAATTCATGTGTTGGTTAACAAAGAAAAATATTTGAATCCTAAGTTTCAATGTCTTCCCTACAATAAAATTATGCAATTTTTAAAGAATATTAAATATTAAATATTTTATTAAATTTTATTTCAACTGTGCTTACTTAACATGTTCATAAAAATATTACTGTTTTAAAGAAAAGTATGTTAAAGTATTTAAATATAGTTTAAAATGCTTAAACTTCATGGTATTGCAATTCAAAACATAAGCATATTTATTATACTTCATGAAAACACTTTGTTCCAAAATATGCACACGTTCTTGCATTTATTAATTTGTTTGGAAATAAAATTTAATTAAGCTACACAATTGTTGCAAGGAAAACAGATTTTCAATAACATGTGGATTTTAATACTATTTCAGTCATTGTGATCATAGTTTTGGCCAGTTAGTTATATGTAATTTGTTTTAACTCTGTAAGCATTTAGATAAAACCTTTTAAAATTGTATTTCTATGTTTAGTCTTCATTGAAATTTTTAATAATTTGTGTAGTTGTTGATTTTGTGCCAGATAGCTATTGCAAAAAATATATTCAGTTGGTTATACCTTATTTTACATGTTTAATATATACTTGTGTGGCATTTTAGTTGCTTTTTTTTGCTGCATTATACAGCAATTGTTGCTTTATTACTTACTTAGAAGTAATATAATAAATTTTATGTATGTTTAAACATATCCAGGTGATTTTATTTATTCTAAATTTATTGTGATTAAAAAAGGAAACTTTTGCATGTTTTTTTTTGTTTGCCTTTACTATTGAAAAAAACAACAGGATTCAAGCACCCTCCCAGAATCCATGAGCTCTTGGACTTTTGGAAAATAAACAACTAAAAACTTCAATTCTTTTGAAATCACTCATGTCTTCATTAAAACTTGAACTTTGACAATATTAGATAATGATAATTTTTTAGGACATCTAGATTTCTACCAAACTTAAATAGGTTGATAAATAATTGTTAGTTTCATTTTCTGAGAATTTGGTAATAGCTTACGTAATTTTTTTGTTGTGTACCTACTCTTACTAATGGTCTTAATAAAATTAATGGTTTTACCTAGTAAAAATACTACTTGAAACAAATGATTTTTGATACAAGCTGTAGTGGGATTGTTGTTTTAGAATCTGGAGCCGGAGAATCTTAGTTTTGAAATCCTGTCCTGTGTGTGTGTGTATATATGTTTACATGATAATATCGTTTCATTTAGATTGATGAAATTTCATGTAAATATTATACAAATTTGTTGTCTTCTATCAACTTTTGAGCGATTTCCGGTAATCAGATGTGGTACTTATTCCACTCCAGATTTCATAGAAGAATATATTTTGAGTACTGTTCTAGTAAGAGGGACAAATTTCAAATGTAAGTATTAGATTGAATGCCCATGTGTCTATCAACTTTTAAATGATTTCTGGTAACTGGAAGTGTTTCTTTATAGTTTATTTCCAATGATTTCTGTAGTGATTAGTCGGTCACCTAGATCTGCTTAGTACTTAGATTCAATGGGAATATAAGTTGTTCTCTATTTATTAGTGATAAACAATTTGTCAAACTAGTTAAAATACTGAAAGGATAAATACAAAACATTAAATAATATAAATTCTTTATTAACCTCACCAATGAATTTGTGTAACACCATGTGCTATTAATTAACAATTGAACTTGAAAACATAATTATAGAGAAACACAAAACATTTTTACTTATGAATCCAGTTTGCATTTCTCTAGCTGCCATTCAAATTTAAAACAAAGCAGGAAGAAAAACTACATTTTCAAAAACAACAAGTCCCCTTTTTAAACAGGTAATCAACTTGTAGAATTTGGGGTCATACATAAATTACATTTGTTTGGCAGATTTTTACCTCCCCCAATCACAAAAAGCTAGACGTCACACCTCAGCCTACAGACCCCTTCAAAATTATAGCTTAATCTTTTTTAAATATAGATTTCTTTCTAAAATATTGACTGAGTGCGGTTACAGAGTATATTAATCAATTTTTATTACAATTTTAAAAAAATTGTTTTCAAGCCCAAAATAACAGCTAAAATTCAATTTCTAACATTACTTTTTTTTAAAATGCAAAAGTGTGATGTCAAACTATCTGAACCCCACTCTCTCTCATCACAAAATTATGATCCTTTCCCCCCCCCCCCCCCCCAGGTGTGTGATGTCATTTATGTATGACCCTTTAGCTTTTAACTTATTTTGTTAGGAAAACAAATATATATTAAGCTATTTGATCGATATTGAATGACTAGTGTTCTGTAGCCCTTTTATAGTTTGTGTTTGTAGTAACATTTTTCTTACTCTCAAAACACACTGTAACATTATAAACACATTTACAGTTTTAATAATATATAATCATTGTTACAATACTATCTCATTCCATACATAGTATTAAAATTCACACTGTAGTTTATAAACTTAAAAAAATTCCAAAACTAGGAATTATTTTTTAGACCTTAAATTTATCAGCTAGAAACTGTTAACACATTTTTATTAATGTAAATGCTTCTAAATGTAATTATTTATTATTGATGTTTTAAACAAACATATATACACAATTCTTTTTACATGCATAGCACCACATGATCACAGACACACATAGTACAAGTGTATTTATCAAAGCATTAGACAATTTTATTATAGGAAGTTGTAACAACTATATTGTTATTAGCTAAGGTCTAATTACATTATGCATATTTTACTACAATAAACTAGCCTTCATGAAAATGAAGAAAAATAATTTCAAGTTATAAAAACTTAACTTTTTTTTAATTTGCCTAAATATACGTATATAAAACTAAGTTTTGTTTTAGAAATATATCCTATGGTACTTTTTGAATGTTTATTTCTATTTTAAAGAAAAAGTTAAACTTGAGCCTTTAATTTGTCGACTTTTAAAGCAGAAATTCATATAAAAAGTCAAGTAACTTAATTTAAATATTTAAGCTTACATAGTTTTTTATATAACTTTTTACTAAAAATAACAATGTGATATAATCAAACAATGCAAACCAGTAAGCTTGTTTAATACTAGAAACATATTTACACATAAGGCCTGCAATTGTCCATTGTTAAATGCATTGAGTAGCCTTTTTATTTATTTACATTATAAATTTCACTGTATGCAATGAGATTTTAAATACATTAAAATATTTTTGGTTTTAATGTAACAGTTTGTTAGAAACAAATACATTTTAGTTTTTTATAACAGATAATGTTCTTAGAAAAAAAGTAATAAAAGTTACTCAATTGGCAAATTTTATATTTTCAACAAAAGTATTTATAAAAATAACCATTGTTGTAACACCACAATCCTGCCCATTTAAAGTTACATCCAGTTGATAAATCTACTGTCCAGTGTATAAACTTTGGTGAAATTCTGTAAGATTGAAAACTGTCTATAAAGTAACATTTCTAATGCACTCCAACATTAACAGAAGTTGTCAAAAAGAAAACTATTTAGGCACAAATTAATGTAGCATTTAACATATAAGAAAGGTGAAAACTACTTATATAGTTTGCTTCAGAAACCATAATTTACTTGCTTTGTTCCATCTCAGTTTGCAAACAAACTACCTAATACTAATAACAATCACAATGCAATCCTAGTATATAGAATTTTTAAAATAGTGAGAAATTAGCAACAAAAACTGTGTGTAATGAACTGTACACACAGAAATAAAAACCAAAACGTAATCAAAAATACAAAATATATACATGTTCTAGATTTGGAAAAGCAGCATAATTTGCTATCTTGAAAATATTGAAGTTCTTAACCTAATACTACACATTTTATATATATTTTAAAGTTTACCAAAAAGCAGCAATATGAATACTTGAAAAATCACTATAATTTGATTAACTAGAAACAATGTGAGTAAAAGTGTTTGAAATTTTAAACTAGTTGAAATTCATTTGAGTTTTGTGAGTTTCATTAATTAGAATATATTTCACAAGTAACTTTGAAAATGAATATACTTAATTTTCTACTATAATAATTAAAATTTGATGTTACTATTTTATACAACCAATAGTGCAATTATTTTAACTTTAAGTAAGTTCAACACTTTTATAATGGAATGATTGTTTTATGAAAAATAAAACTTGTATACAAGCTAAATAATGATTGACAAAAAGTAAAGATTTCACCTATTTTTAAATCAAATCTACCATTCTCAGAGCATTAATTTGGCGTGAATTTACACAAAAATGTATACTGTAAATTACTTTTTTAAAAACAGAACAATGGTGTCTATTAATAAAATCAACACAATACCAAAAGAATTTATTTTAAAGCATAAAACATAAATTACTCAATTCCAAACTCAAAAGCTTATCATTTTCTAAAACTAGTTTTAAAAAACCACACTTTTTGGATACACCTTAAAAGAGAAATGATTTTAGTATTCTTTCTCTTTGTCAATTAGCTTTGCCTTTAACATATTGATTGCTCTTATGATTGGTTGCAGGTACTTGTATGCCACTTCGTGTTGCCGAAGTCCTGGTAGCAACAAGCAAAAATTCACTGAAAAGGTGAACAAAATTGTAAAGATTTTGATTAAAAGGTTTCAAATGAAACTTATACAAAATATACATAAATAATAGATAGATTCTACATCATGTTGCAGTCAAATAAAAGAGAGCTTTATATAGTTTTAAAATATTTGCTGTTTTTCTTATTTACTTACCAACAAGATATAGTAGGAACAGATTGTCAATTATATTTCCAATGAATGCAGTAGATGTCAAGATACCCATAACAATAAAAAAGAACTGTGGATTGATGAAAATAAGGTGTGCAAATAAAAGATGAACTATTAAAAATTGTGTTTGAGCTGCATTTATTTATTTGAAAAATTCTGGTTTTACCAATTTTTTTCAATTCTATCTACAGCATTTACTGACACTAATGGAATCCACAAACATTGAAGGATTTAATTCCATCATATAAAGAACATTAAAAATTTAGAAAAACTGTAGTCTTTATTAATTATTACAAATGACTTTTAAAATATAAAAAATGATATCAAGGGAAACCAACCGTTTTAGCATTTCGTTGTCTCATTGTTGAAAGTCCCCGACATGTATCAATCACATCCTGCCGTAAGGAAACTAAAGTCATACAAATAGTTGTAAACTGAGCTTCTTCTGCTGCAGTCCTGTTACACAAAAAACAAAATTAGAAAAACATCCACAATATTTTAGGATACATTAATCATATCTTGAACAATTTGCTTTGAAAATGTGTACATACAAACAAAACTTACCAATTTTTTATCCCAGTAATAGATGGCCCCATAAATGGAACAACAAAATCAACTATGCCAATTATGATTCCAGCAAGTGATAAGGTAGTAAGTGCTGACATTTCTGTGTACCAAACAATCCTAACAAAATATAGTAATCACATAAAAATATGTATTTTTTGTTTATATCTCAAATGGCCATTTAGTTTAGTCTATTAAAATACAAAATGTGCATTATTTACATTGGGAAATGTAAATAACTTGCCTCAAGACAACATTTTCAATGATTGCATCAAAAGTTTGGACAAATAAAACTTCTTGGTTCATTCCTTTTTTATCCATTACTGTTGTGAAATGCAAATTTAACTCTGTAATTACTTTAATAAAACAAGTTTCTTACGAAAAAAGGAATGTTGTTACACCAACTATTACAGCTGGGCAATATGGCTGATTCCATAACAATAGGCTTTCCAAGGGCAATAACACTTCTCTCCATCCTTCCAAATCACGCTTAATTTCAATCAGCTCATCTGTAGACTCCCCACCACCAGAATACTAAAAAAAAACAAGCAAAAAAAAAAAAAAAACAATTTATATGGGCCTATAGAGGGATAACACTTTAGTCCATCCCAGGCAAAGTCTTCAACAGAATATTATTAAACAGAATGAAGGAAGCGATAGATCCCCAGCTTCGAGATCAACAGGCGGGCTTTAGGAAGGAAAGGTCATGCGTAGACCAAATTGCTACCCTGCGCATCATCATTTAACAGACCCAAGAGTAGAACTCCTCTCTCTCTATATTAATTTCATAGATTATAAGAAGGCCTTTGATAGCCTGGATTGACAGTCAATATGGAAATTGTTGAGACACTATGGGGTGCCACAGAAAATAGTCAACATTATTATATCTTCATATGAAGGTCTGAGATGTAGAGTAATGCATGGCCAACAGACTTTGGAGGCCTTCCAGTACTGACTGGAGTAAGACAGGGTTGCCTACTTTCACCATTGCTGTTCCTGCTGGCCATAGACTGGATTATGAAAAAGTCAACAGAGAAAACGCGAAACAGTATACAGTGGACACTGTGGATCCAGCTAGATGACCTGGACTTTGCTGACAATCTGGCCCTTCTTTCTCACACACAATAGCAAATGCAAGATAAAACCAACAGTGTTGCCAATTTTTCTACATGCCTGGGCCTAAACATCCACAGAGGGAAAACTAAAGTTCTCAAAGTCAATGCATCAAACAGCAACCCTATAACATTGGCGGAAGAGGTCCTAGAAGAAGTGGATAGATTCACCTACCTTGGAAGTATTGTTGATAAGCAGGGTGGGACAGAAGCAGACATAAAAATAAGGATGGGCAAGGCAAGAGCAGTATTCAACCAACTAAAAAATGTTTGAGGTTCTGGAGATTTAACCCTTGGAATAAAAATCCGGATCTCCAACACACTAGTAAAACCAGTTTTACTTTATGGAGCTAAGACATGGAGAATAACTGCTATAAATAAGAAGAAAATACAATCATTTATAAACACAAGCCTCAGAAAGATCCTGCAAATACGCGGGCTTAAACCATCAGAAATGATGTTCTATGACAACAGACAAATCAACTGCCAGCTAAAGTAGAGATCCTACAGAGAAAATGGAAATGAATTGGCCACACTCAGGAAGCCTGTATCCAGCATAACAAGGCAGGCCCTCACCTGGAATCCACAGGGCAGGAGGAGGAGAGGCAGACCAAGAAAGACAGATACCTGGAAAGCTCTTGTCAGCGGCCTATGTCCTGGAATTCTCCTTGAATTTTAAAAATACAGAAAAATCGTGAAATTCTCCTGGAATTTTAACATTTCTCATGGAATTTTAACATTTCTCCTGAAATTTTGTAAAATGTCCTGAAAATTTACTCGCATGGATAATTTTATCATATATTTTTTCTTGCGTTAGATCTCTAGGTAATCAGATCTGACCGCCCCCCAAATGTTCTGCTTTGTCGATTCTGCACATACAAAGCACAATTTTCAAATTATAGACCTCAGGCTGTAGGTTTGGTTTAATTTTTTTCTAACTTCTAGACTAGATCTATCTATGAGTGCGGCTCAGTTTGATAGGCTTGAAGTTCTTTTTTTTTTAATTAAAAATTTCAAGTAGGCCCAAATTTAGTTTTTTGCCCAGCTAATTAAATTAAATTTGAAACATAGTCCGATAGCCCCTATCTACTTTCTATCTAGATCTAGATCTACATGCGTGTTGTAATACTACCACCCTCGCATCTCAGTTTCTTTCCGAAGGCGGGGTGGATGTTTCTCAGTAGCAAGGGGGGGGGGAGGATGTTGAGTCATTTTAACATTTAAAAATTTAAAATTATGTCCTGGAATTCTCCTGGAATTTTAAGTTCACTTTGGTGTAGGAACCCTGTAATATTAATAATAATACTCTAATACTAATAATGTTAGCGTGGGCAACATTTTTCCTTAAACTTAAAGAAAATACTCACCGATAAGTCGTTAACATTCATGTGGTGCAGTTTCCTTTTAGTTAAGTTCGCCATTTTCTTTGCTTAGATACTATAAAACTTAAAACGAAACTATGGTCGAGCTAAAAATAACACCGAATAACAATACTTAAACGACGAGAAACGACAAAGACTTGTCAATAGAGATGACCATCAGAGCGATTGTAAAGTCATTCCTGGTTGTTGTTTTTTTATTTTGCCAATTCAAATTTGCCACCGACGACATTATCTCCGACCAGTATATCTTCCAGACTTTTTTCTTGGGGGGGGGGGGGGGGGGGGGGCTCCGAAGAGATGCCTGGAAGAAACTTTGTCTCCGACAACGTCTACAGAGAAATTCCACTTAAATGTTATGAAGTAAAGAGTATATTAGTATATTTAAAACATCCCACTACAAGAGCTACGTAGGCCTAAAAATTTAGTTTTTGTACTTTTTAGAGGACAGAAAAGAAAGACACAAAATAACTGTTGTTTCATAATTAATGTGAAAATATATTAATTAATTAAGGGGAGAGTATTCTAGAATTTTAAACTATACACCGCACCTACAACCAGCACGAAAACATAAACACAACACCAACCACGAACAAAACCCTCCCGCCCCAAACCCCTTCATTCCAACCCGAAGTAACACGACACCCACTAACTCCACGACCCAATCACTCATACCACACCGTTCCCCATAAGGATCACCCAAAAATTTCAAGTGCTCCCCCCCCACCCCCTGAGAAAAAAGTCTGGAAGAAACACTGCTTCTCATTCTCATTATGCTTCTAAACAGTTGCATCACTTCTCTTTAGATCTTTTCAAAGTGTCTATCAAAGTGCCAATGTATCTGTCTCTGCCTTTACCCCCCCCCCCCCCCCCCCACCTTTTCAACTTTCATTTTTATAATATTTCTACAGGAGGAAGTGCAAGTTTTGTAATTGTGCACTAAAATCACGTGAAATGTAGACAGTTTTCACCGTTTTACACCTCAGTGGCGTAGCGAGGTCGGGTGTCAACCTGTGCGGCACTTAATGGTGTCACCCCCAGAGGCGTAGCGACCCTTCTCGGGGACAAACTTACCCCCCCCCCCTCAAACTTTCGATTTGCACCACCCCCCCCCCCTCAAACTTTCGATGTGCACCCCCTCAAACTTTCGATTAGCACCCCCCCCCTCAAGTTTTTCTCTATATATTATTATATTTTGCTATTTTTACTTTCTCGTGTATACGAAGTATAGAGAAAATCTTTTAATCGTGCAAAAAAAAATCGAGATTTTTGCAAATCTCGACGTTTTACACCTCACTGATACGGAAAAACATAATTTTGCAATCTTGTCCGTATGTCTGTGTGTCTGTCTGTGTGTCTCTGTGTGTGTAAACACGATAACTTGAGTACCGTTACAGCTAGGTTGATGAAATTTCATATATAAGTATGTTCTCAAAATCGTAGATCCCTATCAACTTTTGAGCGATTTCCGATAACCGGAAGTGGTACTTTTTCTACTGTGAATTTTTCAAAAGCCTATAACTTGAGTACTATTTTAGATAGATAAATGAAATTACACATGTAAGTAAAAGATCTAATTCTCTACCTTCTATCAAATTTTGAGTAATTTCCGTTGACCGGAAGTACTAATTTACGCTATTTCCGATTTCTCAAAAAAAAATTGCTTTAACTTGAGTACTGTTTCTGATAGATAGATGAAAGTTCACATATAAGTAACATATCTAATCTCCGTTTTCTGTCAAATTTTGAGTAATTTCCGATTTATCAAAAAAACGCATATAAATTTATAAAGTACTAATTTTCCGCACTATTATACATATATTGTTTTCTGTTCTGCATAATTTTTTTTAGTCAAGATTCTATTCTATTTTAAAAAGTTTTTAAAGTATTTAAAAATTGAGTAAAAAGCGTGTCTATACCGCCCGAAGTGTTACATAAGAACATTCGAGATAGTTTAGGGGAGATCACTCCCGCATTATTTCCGTCAAAGTTAATTCAACTCACATGTTCAAGCTACTTTTTAGCGCAATTTCCATACTGACAATTGCGATTATTAATTCGTTATTTCTGGATGGATGGATGGATGGATGGATGGATGTGTGTCCGCAGCTTTAAGTCGTATCTCCTCCTCAACGAAGCAATATCGAGGACTAGTTCCAAAAGCAAATATGTTAAGCAAGTTCCGAGGATGGTTGTGTGCCAAAAAAATTCCCGGAATTCCTTCCTGGATTTCCCGGAAAAGCCAAAAAACCTCGACAAAATGTAGTTTTTGGCCCATATCTCGGCAACCAGACCACTTAGCGACTTGAAACATTTACCAATCGATTCCTGCCATAATTTAGAACAATATTGCCGAAGAAAGTTTTCAAAAATATCCTTTCGTTCGGTCACAAAAAATTAATTAAGGAAATTGCGCTTAAATTGTCACTAGACTTTTTATTAACTTGTTTTTTTTTAAAATCTTATTTGAGAGCGGTAAAATATGAAGAAATTTAGTATCTATTAGATCTATGTAATTGGTTTACATCGCCCGTCTTTTAGGGTAACCTAAATAAATTAAAAACAAAAAACAAAGAAGTGGTTTAGGCGCAGGTTCACTCTTAAAGCATGCTGTATGAAAGTTGAAAGCCTTGAAGGTACGTTAATCAACCTCCGTAATAATTATATACAGCTATCCTTGGAGACCGCAGAGATGCCACAGGCGTCGCGGGGCGCTCTCGGAAGCCACCGGTTACACTATAACAGGGGCGGCGGGGTGCAGCCTATGGTTCGGTTTAGTAACCAACTGTAGTTGTCCGACGAGTATCTATAGTGTATGGTCTCTTAAAAACGAATATAGTTGCCATATAATGCTCATGGGGGAGGCCGGGGTGTTCCGGGTCACCCGACCGCCGGGACGCAAGAGGCCGCCCCTGTTGCACTTAGACAATTACATTAAGTTATTTTAAGTAGTACACCTGTCCTCTAAGCAGGACGCCCAGTCAACGAACTTCACGTAATGTGCTCAGATTGGGAAACTCGAAATAGTGCTCATCTGGGAGACAACGACGCTCAGGGTCAAATGGTAGCCGGACGCACCTGGTTTGACTTCTAGTCAACGATTATAGTGGTCCCTGGTGAATGGCGCTCTTTATAATAAATGTAGGCGATATAGTGATTAGGAATGAGTCCGGAATACTCGTATACGGGGTCGCCAGTGTGTCAGTAGCGTAGCGAGGGGGGGGGGGGGGGCGGGGGGGACATATGTCCCCGGGCGCCGACCTTAGGGGGGGCGCCAAATTGAAAGTTTGAGGGGGGGGGTGCAAATATATTTGCATATATTTTTTTATATTTATAAAGCAAAAATGCATCTAAAATAATATTTTAATTTGTTTTTCCAACTCATTTTGGCGCCCCCTAAGGTTGGCGCCCGGGGACATATGTACCCCCCTGCCCCCTTCGCTACGCCTCTGCATAAAAGAGAGACAGACAAACCCACATGTTTTCATTTTTACAAGATTTTACATTACTAGCTTCCTGACACTTCCTGTCTTTTGCCTATTGTCGATCAAAAACTTCGACCACTTCTAATAAACCAATTTTTTCTGAAACTTGGCACGTGGGTCAGGACCCGATGACAATGCAGTCTGACATTAAATTTGACTTTAATTGGATGCTCAATTTAATTTTAAAACAATCCTAATATATAAAAGACCATGCGCGCCCTCTCTCTCTGTTCGCTACATTTTTTGGCGATGTGATCAGTATGTTCAGCGATATATGGAGAACTTAAAAATAAGGACATTTGTTGAAAATAATATGGTGGATGTTATAGATGCATAAACTAAATTTTGTTTAAAGCAGGAAAATAAAAATTCACGGCATATTCGAATGTAGAAACACATTTCTAACTAAAGTCAAAGTGTTTATTGTCGTGAGAAGACCGCAATAAACAATGACGTCACATGTCACACGTTTAAGCTACGAAAAGAACACAAAACTAATGGCGTCGTCTTCCAATTTTAGAATATGAAGAAATAACATTATTTCATTCAAATTTGATTTTGATCTACTTATCAATACGTACCCTATAAAATGTATACAATTTTCTCGACCAAAAGTAATACTGTAGTGAATTTGTTAGAAATCAGTCAATTGTGCTTAGTAGGGCAAGAGGAAAAATTCGTATCTTAATAAATAGTTGTTATAATAGCATGAAAATTGGAAGCTGGTTCTTTAATTAGAATATCTTGGTGTTAGTGAGGGGCAAGCCTATATTATGGAAATCTACTTTAATTAGATGTATTTGATGATATTTTTAAGTTAGTTGCAGGTTTGATGTATTATTGAACAACTTATTGATGTTATATGTAGATCTAATTGGTATCATTGTAAAGGGAATTGTCAGTGGGTTCAGATGATAAGTTTATTACAATTTTAGGAGATTGCCTTACGTTTTATGTAGAGTTATTTGGAGTAGGTTAGCACAAAATCAGGGAAAATTTGCACGGGTAAGCGCTAGAATTCGTGCCTAGAGCAAGGTGTCATCCTAGACGCTCGCGGATGGGGTATATAAACCGGCGGGTTAGAAACATCAAACAACAACAACAACTTAGAGGGGACTTCCGCGATATAATCTTGAGATTGAAAGCGGACTATAAACATCATCATCTTAGATGGGATGGAGAAGCGACGGCCCTAGCCACTATTTATTGCAGCACGCGTGTTGGCGCTATAAAATATTTTTAGGTGCGCGCTACACATAGACAATTCCCGGTCAAGAAAGATATTCAAATAAAAATTTCAGTTTCGGTCCCCCACAGGCTCACATGGGCCGCTAAGGGGCCATATAATACATTTTTTTTTTTTGAATAATAAAAAAAATAACTAAGGTTAGATTATTAACTGGGTTGTTTCCTTTTGTCCGTACAAAAATCCAGTTTCGTCACTTTGCGAATGATGCAATTAGCATCTATTTTTAGACGATCCAATCAGAAATTGAGCTTCTAATAATACCCCATTAATAATGCTAACAAATTACCGCCTATGCGTTAGTTTAATCGGGGGCTCCAGAGAGCGCCACTATATGTCACTGACACATGGGTGGTCAGCGAAGTGTATTCTACCTCATTATTTCTGTGAGTGATTAAGGTACACTCAAGGTCTTAACGCGGTAGTATAGGTAAACCAGTGTCCCGATATTTATGATTCAAGCGCAGGCATTGTTTACATTCAAATAACTCAGTTTTAGAAAACAAGGTCAGGCGTCTAAGAATATATGATTGGTAACGCATTGATGAAACCCTTATTATATATTTCGACAGACTTTCTTCTATTGTCGCGGCAACGCGTGGGGACGGGTACGCTAGTTGTATTAAAGATTTTAGAAGAGTACTAAAAAATGCATATTTTAAAAACTTTTTAAAGCTTGTATGTAATAATACACTAAAAAGGGAGAAAATAACAGCTTTTCTTTTAAATATAATGATGAATTACTAGTTATAAAACAAAAAATGAAAGCATAGGTCGCTTTTTAAATTCTAGTTACAGTTAGGAAATAGAAGAAATAGCCAAAAGCTATTTTCACAACACAAAAGATTTTAAAAAATTGTTTTGTCTTTGTTTACTTCTCGTATTTTCTCGGTATGATATGCTTTTATTATTTTCAAAATCATAAATTTAGAAATTATTTGTTCGTTTTTATTAATTATTTTTTTGAAAATATATGCCCCATTACATGTCATATTTGACGAAAACTTAAAATTGAAAAAAATATAAATGTAACCTCCAACCTTAGAAATAGAAACGCTCTTTTTTCATTGGCTCAAATTTAGGCCTTTATTAAATTTATACATTTGGATTTTCATCCTGTCATGTCGGATCACTAGTCTAGGTTTTGTAGTACAACTTGAATGATATTGTGGTGGTACTACCAATTTTGATTTAAAAATAGTGTATGGAATTAACTAAAGTCACATCTTCTGAATAGATATTACCCAAGTAAATCTAGACTTCAGCAAGATGTCAAACGTAAGCTTTCTGTTGAATTTCTGTCCACTTCTACTCTAGTCATTTACTTGTCAGTTCTTACTTCAAACTTCAAAACTTGTCCACTATTCGTAATTCTGATTTTTTGGATTAGATCTAGAGATCTAGAATCTAGATCTAGATTTCTAGATCTAGATAATCTAGAATAAATATGGAATCTAGATTTAGATTAGATTTTAGATCTTCATGATCTAGTAAGTCAAGACTGAGTAGAATCTCATTCTAGAATCTAGATTCTAGATCTAGATCTTGAATCTAGAATCTAGAGTAAAGTTCCACGCGCGGTCACACATAGCGGAAAATTCCAAATTCCCGATTTTCATCGGGCGCTATTTTATAACCGTTTCACACAGAAACAAACCGAAAGCACTGTATTACTCTGCTGCCATTCTACTGTAATATGTATGAGTCATTTTGTATTCCTACGCATAGTATTTAAGATATTCATGTTTTAGTGACGTCCCTCCTTGCGATATTTTTTTTCCCTTTTTTTTTTGCCTGCGTACGCAAGAACCTGCTTGCCAACGAGCGTATTGTATACGTTTTGATCCAATTTTAATAATTGAAATAAATATTTTACACACTTAAACGTGTTGTTGATTGTATTATTAATTAATAGATTGCAAAAATAATAATTAAAAACATGTTAATTAAATTAATTAAAGACATTAAAAGTTGACCCAGTGATGACTCAAGGGACGCAACTATAATAATCATAACAAAGGGACGTAACAACCACTAAAAGACATAACGTAACATTTGCTTAGATATGCTTGTATGTAGAGACACAAACTAGATTTAGAAGAAGTAGATGATCGAAATAATTTAAAACAGCAGAAAAAAATAGAAAGTATACAGATTCTAGGCTTAGTTTGAAATATAGAGCATCTAGAACTAGGCTAGTCTAGCTCAAGTCGTTGGTTACGCAGCGATGTGAAACCACCGTAATCGACACCCAAGCTGCGGCCACCCCTATTTACCTATCAGGTTGCTTTATTAGCCTTATCTATCGTATGTACAGTGTCCCGCATATATTGTAGAAGCTATTTATAGTTAACCTAGTTATAAAAAGCTTTGATTGGTTGGTTTTATTCATCTCATCCGGGACCTAGTGTTTTTCATAGGGGGAACTAGAACCGCCTACGACGTCATACCTCGAAACTTTAAAATTTAAAAACTCGACTTCCAGAAGGAGAAAAACAAAAGAATTTGACCTGGATATATTTAGAAATGGACAGGTTTACAGCAGATATCGGTAGTTTCGTATAAAACATCAAAACAAATATTGTACGAAGCGATAAACAGGCGATGATCGCACCGGTGTTTTAACCGCGCGTGGAACTTTACTCTAGATCTAGATCTAGATCTAGACTCTAGTCTCTGTACAGTTTTGTACACTCTGTACTCTGTACTGTAGTCTGTAGAGTAGAAAAACTAATAAAAAAACGAAGTGACTATACTATTACTATTAGCCTATTCAGTTGAGTATTCAATAGGGAGAGAGTGTAGTCTAGTTTAACTATCTAGACTCTAGACTAGACCCTTTGTATCCCTAGAACACAGCAGAACAAGCCTCAACCAATCGGCAGGCTTGTTGCACTGAGTTAATTATTAAAATAAAACTAAAATATGCACTAGTTCTCACTGAGCTAAATTATTGAGTTTCAATTTTTTGTGCAACCCACAGCAGTGCTGGAAAAAATGTCCATAGCAACCTAATTTCAGTCTGAAAATGCAGCTTTTGTGATTTTTAGCAGAATATGCAGTACATTTGATTTGGGAGTGTATTTGTAATTCGCTTTTTTAGCCGACCAATCATATTTATTTTAAAATTTATTGTTCTGTGCATGCATGCATATTTAAAAAAAATTATGACACTCGACTTTTCAACATTTTTATAACTGTTCGGGTGGTCGAAGTGGTTGCACATCAGGTAGTTTTTTTTCATGGTGTGGCATCCATTCCTTTTGGCATCCATTGCCTTTTTCTTTCCATTTTACTTTAGGGTTTAGGGTTAAGTTTAGAGTAAGGCATTATGGTAGGTTTAGAAACTTTAGACAGATTAGGGTAGGTTAGGCTATTTCACTATTTGTAGTTAACTACGAATAGCCACAGCTGTTGATTTTGTTACTAGATTTCTATTTAGTTAATATTCACAAAGCTTTTTCCACATAGAGGTCAGAATATTTTATTTCAGATTTGTATTTATTTGATTTCTCTTTAAAAACTGTCATCGCCTTAAAATTGATCACCAGAGAATCAGAAATGTTCATTTTAAACATCCTCATGTGCAGCCCACGATGTAATTTTGTATAAATGAGAGGGAATCGGGAGTTCAGATTGTATTATAGTGTTATGTCATACTTTTGCTTTTTTAAAAAGTAGCCTAATGTTTGAAAGTGAATTTTAACTGCTATTCCCCACTTTAGAAAGCTGTTATTTGATAATTGTAATAGAAATGTACTAAAATATTCTGTTAACAGAGCACAGTCAATTTTTTTAAGAAATTAAGAAAGAAATCAATGTTTTAAGTCTTTAGGGTTGTTCTCATTGGGGGGGGGGGGGGGGGGGGGTAGGGTCTGGCTTTTTGTAAAGGTGGGAGAAGGGAGGTAAAAAATTGATGACATTTAGGGTAAAGGAGGGTGTTAAGAGCCACACTTTTTAGCACCTGTACATTTTTAAAGATTTCTACTAATCTAAGAATTTTTTAGTATTGAAAATATGGCAAAATTATTCTAACATATCTTACACAATATAAAAATAATAACAAATTCTATTAAATATACTTTAAATGGGTTTAATTGTAAAGGTGGGAGAAGGGAGGTAAAAAATTGATGACATTTAGGCCTATTGTTGATCCCATAAAAAACTATTACTATTAGGTCTACTATTGTAGTTTATTTTAGGCCTATTGTTTAGTTATGAGTTATGTTAACTGAGTTTAACTACTATTCTAAATTCTAACCCTAGAACTAGTCTAATTTTTTAAGATTCTAGATCTTAACAGCAAACACTAAAGTTTAATGTTTGCTGTTTAGTTCTAAAAATTAGACTAGTTCTAACTAGATGTTTTTATACTACTGTGACTATACACACTATAGATCTATATTATACTATAGTCCATAAAGTTTTTCCCTAGATTTGATTTTTAAAATTTAATAGGTCTAATTTTTAGGTAGTAATTAAGTTATAGGCCTATATCTATCATTTAGCTAGAATGTAGCTTAGCTTGTTTGTAGAAGCTAGAAAGATACTAACTTAACTTAACTATTCTTTTGCAAAATATCCATTATGAGTTTTAGTCTTAACTCGTTGTGTCCTTACCTCTTGAGTAATACCTTATCAAATACAAATTGTATTTGTCACAGTAAGTATATCATTTAGTAAGAGGATTCCATTAAAATTCAGTGCATTAAACACTACCAGCTAAAGGGTTAAACTATTTAAAAAACATACTGTATGATGCAGTTTTCCAGTATCTAGTCACAGAATATTTTGACCTCTTAAAAAGACAAATCCAGATGTTCAAGTCAATATTTTTTAGATTCATATGAAGTGATCATGAAAATTAGCATTCTTTAATTGCTTTGTTTTTTGCTTAGAGTAATTGTATGTTAGACTTGCATTCTTTATTGGAAATTAAAAGATGGCACAATCTCCCTTACAGTTAACTACTAGTACTTGTACTAGTGGAGTTGACATCATCACACATTTTATATTTTTAACTACTTTGATATCTATATGTTTAGTTTTTTTAACTATCTTGATCCTTATTCATATTTTATAAGGTGTCAAATGTTGAGAATCTTTCACCACAAATAATTCGGCAAGTGACAAAAGAGATTAGTGGTTTATGTAGAAATCCACCTGAAGGCATCAAAGTATTTATGAATGATGAAGATGTTACAGATATTCAAGCAACAATTGAAGGTCCATGTAAGTAACATTTTTACTTATTTCAAAAAGTTGTTTTAAGTACAGACTATTTTTTCAGTGTTATTTAACATTTGTAGATCTTAAGCACATGAAGACATAAATGAGGTAGATCAATTTCATTGGGTGCAAATAAACTTTATTAAAGGATTAGGATCGCGGGCAAGTAAAGTCTTGTTTAATATTATCACTTATTTTAAGGATAACAGTTCTAGCAGACTAATTTATGGTTAGCCAGTGATACTGAATCAGGGAGAAACAGATTTAAAAAAAAAAAGAAATTTGCGAAAGCCAGCTTTTCTTGTGTTGATGAACAAAATTAAAGGCTAGTGACGTCACTAACAATGTCAAATGCATATGGTCAACTACAATTATTTCATGGGGAGGGGAGATAACAACTGTAGTATATAGGGCTTTCTTGAACTCATTGTGACCCAAAGTAGGCCCATGCGGTCATAATGCATGGTGTTTATTTTTTGGGGGGGGGGGAGATAAAGTGACATCATCAGGTATCTCATATAGCAGTTGTTCATGTTATATACATATGCTATAGGCCTTCACAATGACCTCTCCACTTGGTCTAGTTGGGCGAGGGGGGGGATGCCATACCATTAATGTTTTAATAGCAGTCCAAGGCTATTTGCAAAGCATATTTTTTGATTTGCTTACTGTCATAAGTATAGGTCTGCTTGGCTTAGATGGGGTTTTTTTTCTTTTTTTTTTTCAAGTTTTTTTTTCTTTAAATATGATTTATTTGAAATAAAATTGGCCCTAGGATCTAATTTCAGTTATTCTGGTTGATCTTATTGTCTATCAAACCAAAATGTTAAAATTAATATTGGGCTCGTTTAAGTTTTAAAAATACAGGTACCTCTAAGAAACGACTTAATTATTAAATTGAAAACCGTGAGAATGACCATTAGAGTTTTAATAAGTTCAGTTGTGAAAAAAAAAGAATTTTAAGATATGATTTACTTTAAAAAATGAGTGGCACCCCTAAAAATGTCTGTTTTTTTAGTGTTTTAGTTAAATTTAATATGGCAAGTTTATGGTCAATGGTTATGGGCGTTGAAATTTATATAAAAAATAGCAGGGAATTTATACTTAAATAGCAGGGAATTTCTTCGAATAGCAGGGAATTTTCTGGTAAATAAATTGTGGGAACCGTGTGAACTGCTTTTATTTATGCTGTCTTTTAACTGAAATAGTTATGGGAATGGGAAACTTGTATTCACATAAATGCCTTCGTAATTTTAAAAAGAGAACATGAATAATAAAGACAAAATTAGTTAAGTAGGGGTAATTTTTGTAATATTTTCTTTCTTACAGTATTTAGCTGCTGGCTTGATGGTTAAGTTTAAGAGATTTTCCATTCCCTAAAACTGGCACATATTTCAATATTCTTCATATTTCCTGAAGGAGTCAGGGTAACTGGTTATATGCAACCCTATCCACACACTTGCCGTAGTCCTCTTTGTGGATCATATTGCCTCATCAATAATCTTCCAATTCTGACCTCTAGTAAATTTGCTGTCTCCCAAGCCATCCATGCATCTCTATCCACACATTCTGTTATACCCCATTTTTCAAGTGACAAGACTATAAATTTGTATTTTTTTTCTTTTTACAGCTGGAACACCATACGCAGGAGGCACTTTTCGCATGAAATTAGTTCTTGGTAACAATTTTCCTACAGAACCCCCCAAGGCTTTTTTTCTCACAAAAATTTTTCATCCAAATGTTTCAAGCAATGGAGAAATATGTGTTAATACACTTAAGAAAGATTGGAAACCAGAATTAGGAATTAAACACATTTTATTGGTATGTACTGCAATCTGGAAGCATTGCAGTTTTTGTTCTAATGATCTGTAAATATTGTTACAGACATGCCTACCGTCCCGCCAGAAGCAGAATTGTTGGTTTTTTTTTTGTTTTTTTTTTTTACAAAAATTAGCGTCCTGTTCCAGCATCCAGTTTTGTTCTGTTTTTTTTTTTGTAAAAAAAATAATTAATAAAGAAAAGTAATCAATCGAATTGAAAATAAGAGCATGGAAAAGTGATTGTCTCCCTTTGCCACAAGTTTCCATTTCATTGTTTACTTACAATATTTACAAGTATCATCTAGATACTACTAGATATACTAATAGATGATGTGGACCATCTAGCTACTGAACGTTCTTTTTAGTATTTGCAATTGAAATGTAGATTTAAATTATGCCTTATATAACATGTAGGTAGAAAAATACAATAAAATAATGACCAACATGCTAATTTGAAGTCATTTCTAGATCTAGACCGTAGTTCTACTAGGTGAAACGACTATTATATAAAGAACGTAGTAAGAAGTAAGTAGGACTTTTACTAGGTAGATCTAGGTGAATGTTATGTCAAAGCTATGGTTTTTTAACCGGGGGGGGGGGGGGGGGGGTTAGAGGTTTCGGGTGTTTAAAAAATTAAAAGCCTACTAATGTCATTATATGACTAATTTTAAATTTTTGTCTTAGTAGTAAAGTAGCATCCACACGTATGTTCCTCCTTTTGGCTTTGAATTCCTCCATTTAGGCATGACTGTTCCTACTTTTGTCTGACAGGGGTAGGCGTGTCTGTTGTTAAATAAGTAATAAGCATAACAAAACATTTTAAAAGTTACTACGTTCTTTATTCACTATTCCAAAAATCCCAATACCTTGATATTATTTTTTGTTACAGCTGTTTTTAAATGTAATTTCAGACTGTTAAATGCTTGCTCATTGTGCCTAATCCTGAGTCTGCCTTGAATGCAGAAGCTGGAAAGTTACTGCTAGAACAATATGAAGATTATTCCCAAAGAGCTAAAATGTTTACAGAGATCCATGCTAAACCTCTCAGGTATATGCTGAATTTTAGAATTGTTAAGGGTATTTTCCATTGCATTTACTGTTGCTAGAAATACGAAGTATCATGCATTGAAAAAAGTGTTAAGCAATTTTATTACCATTGAGGGACTCTTAGTTATGTAACAAGCTAACTTTTTAACTCCTGGGCCACGATGCATTTTGCGATTGGTGACAAATCAGGAGTTAAATGTCGTAATTGAATTTATCCTCTCTATGCTCAATATTTTGCTTAAAATAAATTTGTTCTGTTTTCCTAGAGTGGATATTTAATAGTATTATTTTATTTTCTAGAGTAACAGAAGACAATTGTTCTGAAGACAAATCAGCAGATGGACCTTTGGCAAAAAAGCATGCAGGTGACAAAAAACTCCTTGACAAAAAGAAACGTGATAAAAAGAAGACATTAAAACGTTTGTGACCAATACCTTTTTTCAAGCCTGACTTCATTATATTTATTCATCACCCTCTATACCAAATCTCAATGAACTGTTACACAGAAATGTTTTATTTTTTACAGTAATTTCTCAGCTTGTGTTTTTAAAGGGACAATAGTTTCAGTAGTAAATGATAAACCCAGCCAATGAAACTGGTCTACATAGATTTTGTGTATACTGTGAAGCATCATCAGTTTATTTTTCAAATGGCAAAGGTAGCCCATTTTCTATTCATTTTAGATGCACTATGCCTGTTCAATCTTAGTAAACAATCCAACAATTTTGTATACATTTGAATCAGTATGCTAAATTCAATCTATTTTGTAGTCCAGATGTTAAATTTAAAATCTTTGACTTATTCTACTTATTTTATTTAATAAGCCATTTGAACCTTTAGATATGTAAGTTTCATAGGTGTGTTTTTTCTTGAAGTTGCTTAACATTTGAATGAGTAAAAACTCATTTATGAAATTTTATTTTTGATGTAAATAGGAAAAAAAGGGTCTGAAACTTATAACTTTTTCAGATAGCTGATTTCTTATTTACATTTCACTGTGTTATTTATTTGAAATACTGTGCATTTTTATAGAATTTAAAATGAAGTGTTTTTAATTTATCAAAATAATGTACTACAGTGCTACTAAATCTAATATATTCATTGATACCTTATGGCTGAACAGACAATAGAGGGCAAAATTATGTTGAATGTTTTGAGTGTCTGTCTGTGGCAGCTCTTTATGTTCATTTTATGTCAATAAAAACTGAGCATGTATGGATTCGAAAAATGTGAAACTTCTTTTTTTTTAATGTATACAGATTACTAGAAAATAACTGAATTTCTCATTGTCCATAATTCTCTTTCTTTTACTGCTAGTTTGAATAATTTACAAAACTGTTATCACTTCATTTATAATACTATTATCACGATTACATTACACCCGTAAGTGTTGTACAATTTGATAAATGCTCATATGAATGAGTTGGTTGAAGAAAAATTACTGGCATTGGTACTTGCTTAAATACTTAATATACAATGAAAATAAGTGAGCCTGAAAAAACAATATTTGATTAAAAAAATTAACAACTTTAATAATGACTACAAAATTACTATTCACCAAGTTTAATCAGCTGTTAAAATGAACGGAACAAATAATGTAATGAACAACTTTTACAATTGATATTTTAAAATTTCCATGAATGATATATTCAGTGTCTATCTTGATGAACTGGAGCTGGATCTACTGTGTCTCCGTCTGCCTACAGGTGATCTTGAGCGTCTCCGGGGTGGACTCCGTCGTGGAGGAGACCTTTACAAAAAAATTTATTTTACATTAAATTAAATTACAGTAGGTACGCCAAACTTGTTTTTCAGGTCAATATTGCAAAAATTGCCTAGTAAGTAACTGTACGCATTAGGAAGAAAGTAAATAGATTTTTTCCCTAAATTTCTTTTGACCAATCACAAGCTTTAAAAAATTCACTAATATTCTTCGAATTAAAAACTAAAAGTAAAATGTATTAATTCATATGAATGCATGACAAGAAAATTCCCTGCTATTCCTAGAAATTCCATCATACTATTTTTCATTAAATTTTTACCAGGCACAACATTGAACTATCCAAATTAAATTAGTACACACAAAAAACAAACTCATGCTGTTAATCCTAAAATTCAATCCCAAAACAAAAATTGATAATACCTCATTACATCTAGAGACATGTGATTCATATTATGTTGTAATATACATTCCTTTGTAATCCTTTACATTATCTTTGTAACAATTTAAAACAAATTAATAATTAAAGGATTTTGCATATAGCAAAAATAGATCCATCTTGACCCCATATTTAATGTCACATTTCTTGGACTTTCACAATACAAAACAACTATTTATGTTAATACATTTATTATGATATATAATAAGTTTAGCTGATAGTAGTCACACCTTTGCAGCCTACTATGTAGATAATATGGATTCCTGCTGATTTTAATATATCTAGGTATTTAACATTAGCACTGCTAAAAAAGTTATTTGAAATAATTATCATTAAAAAAGTTTTTAAAAACCCCACGTTTTCTGATTGAACTAAAAAGTAGAAAATAAATGCTATACATCACAATAATGCAAGCGATCACTCGCATATGAAGTTTTTTATCGGTCATTGTTAATATAAGATGTAAAAGTTATATTACTATTGATTAGATCAGTGGTTCCCAACCCTTTTCGAGTGGCGACCCCCTTTTATAAAAAGTAAGTGACCCGCGACCCCCATATAATTAAAAAGCCGAAATTAGTATGGAAATTAATAAGCACTAAAATGATATTTTCTAGTAGACTTTCAATATGAACTACTCTTGATAACTATTTTAATAGCATGAGTAAAATTGCATACTATTCACTAAACCTTCGCGGTTAAGTTTTTAATTTTAAAAATTTTTTGTCAACGCCAACCTATGTCATTATAATTATCTTAATTTTGTTTTTAATCGAAGAATAGTGTTGAAAATATATTCTCGAAAATTCAATCAATTTTACGTTTGGGTATGAATGGTGAATACTACACCAAAATTGTGTCTGCAGTTTTTCATCTTACTCGGAATCATTCTGCAAATCAAAGAAATCATCTTGTAATTCATCGGGAATGCTGGCAACATCAAGGGAAGAAGAGAATGGGTAATGCGTAAATGCAGATTCTTCTTTTTTTCAGCTCAGAGAAATAGCGATGCAGTTCCTTTTCAAGAGATTCAAGATGCCCAGAAATCGCTTCTTTCAAAATTTTAATTATCTCACAATCAGATTCATCTACCACACCGCAGAGTTTCCCAAATTTACAATATTTCCAAGATTTATTTTCTTTTCCGATTTTGCAGCTTTGATAAAAATGCCCCGAGATTATCATGGAAAGTTATAATATTCGTTCATTTTCCTGAAGCTTCAGGTTAAGCTTATCTTGATGTTCGAACACATCTGCTAGGTATGATACTCTCTCCAACCACTCTATTTCGTTTTAAGTATACCAAAAAGTCTTGTTTCCTTTGCACTTCCAAGAACAGTTTGATTTCAGATTTTAATTCAAAAACACGATTCACAACAATTCGTTTGACAGCCAGCGTACTGTAGTGTAGAAAAAGCAGAATCTCGTGATCTATATTAATGTTTTTGCTCAGTTCTTTGAATGCTCCAGATTTTATATAATTCACGACTTATACTATCAATGGACTCTTGATGTCGATTGGTTAGGGCAGTGGTTAGGGAGCTAAATCTTTTCTGTTTTCTGAAAGCCCGATTTTGAGCTAAACATAGATGGTACACGATACGTACAAACCCCCACAGCCGTTTTAACCCATTTTAATCATCCAGTTTCAAAAAAGGTATTTATTTTCTTCATGCTATCTTCACAAAAGAGCAACTCTTCTTTGCTATCATCCGCATGAATATAGACACAGACCAGCAACTGCGAACACGAACTCACGTCTGTTGATTTATCAACTTGAAAAGCAAACAATTGTGAAAGCTTAATTTCGATAAAAAAAGTGTTATTTAACATTAATTTTTACGTACATGCAGCGTTTGATGAGATTTTCTCCTGTTTTTTTTTTTTTTTGCTTGGCATTTTCTATCGCGACTTCATTTGATGCTTGCACTAATGCTGGTGAAAACTTCCTGTTCGATCAAGTCTCTGGCGTTTGCAACTAGTTTCTTACCGACGAAAGAACTCCATATATTTTTTGGTGTGTTCCGAATGACTCGTCTCAAATGGCGTTTTAGTTCTGAAGATTTCATAGATTCGTGACTGAGAACAACTTTGTACAGTGCGCTTTGTTTCTTTTCTATTACATTTCCAGTGATGTTAATGAAGCCGAATTTCAAAAATTCTTCTAAATATTTGTTTTCTTTCAAACTACTAAGGTTTAGTATACCAGTTGGCGACCCCCCAGGAAGCCCTTCGCGACCCCCAGGGGGGTCGCGACCCCCAGGTTGGGAACCCGTGGATTAGATAATACTATTGAGTTTTATTAGGGAGCTTGTAGAGAGTCAACAGTATTAGAAACTGTAAGAAAATCACGGCGCCCCACGTTTTTCATCGCTTATAGTAGAGTGATCGCTTGCATTATTGTGATGTATAGCATTTATTTTCTACTTTTTTGTTCAATCAGAAAACGTGGGGTTTTTTAAAAACTTTTTTAATGATAATTATTTTCTACTTTTTAGTCTGTCTGTTTGTTTGCATTCAAATCTTGCTATCGATTTTATCTTCTCGCATTCACTTTTTTTTTGGGTAAACAAAGACAACTCGTAAAAAAACGTGCCCTTTCCAATCGACGTTTCTTCTGTGTTGCCGTTTCTTTCACCGTTGTTTGTACACAAACACCGCGTGACCACTACTCAGTAAGCCAAAAGAGGGAGAGTACCGAACCTTGTTTTCATCAAATTACAATTACTAGGTTATGTCCCTTTTTTGTACAAAGATATAGGGGCCTAAAATGGATCAATAAACATTTTCCATGGATCAATTTAGTAATAATAATAATTGAATATTCTATTGTCATCGGAAACAAAGCTTCCCTGAAAATTTCAGCGCGGTAGCTAACTGGGAATTGCCCGAAATTTTGATCGCAAGATTTGATTGGAGAACCAAACAAACAGACGCGAAAGCAAGTTAAAGAAAACGTGGGAATATCTCCCTAATGCTCACATCTTACCAATTAATAGCTTAATATACCTAATATCTTAAATAAAAGTTTCTGTAACTCTTAGTCCTATCAATTAATATTTATAGTAAACATTGTTTTAAATTTTTCAAGTTCACAAAAATGAAAGGAGCTTAATAATAATAATAGTAATTTTAACATCTATATATGTAATTCTCTTCTTGGAGACGATAGAAAACACCAAGCTGTAAGCGCGCTCCCTACCACCCCCACCCCTACATGGTCTGGTGAGCTGTAGTTCACGCTAAGTGTTTACAAAGGTAGAGCCGGGTTTAGTGACGGCTATTAGGGGAAGATAATTTAGTTTGAAACGATTTTAAACTTAGGGGAGGTAACTAAGAGTTTACTTTCACGGGGGTGTGGGGGGGGGGTGGGGTAGGGGTTATTGTCCTTAACGAGCTACTGATAGTGTTTTCAAGTAAATATTTTCGGTGGCAGCGTTGTTACTGTCGAATTCACAAATTATTAATCACCGAAAAGTAGAAAATAAAACAACTAAATAGCGGCGTATCAACTACATGATGATGTATGCTTTTCAAATAGAGTAGAACTGCTATTAAAATTTGTAGGTATGAATCCCTCCTGGAAGAGATCATTGTGAGTTAACAATAGAAGTTAGAAGGCCAGTAGCAGAGATATTAACATGAACAATTGCTATTTGTCATTTTTATCCCCCTACAAGTGTAGGCTTACTCAGGGTAGCAGTAGCAGTGAGTTTAAGAAAGCCCTATTTTCTCCTGTTTTTACAATTGTTATCCTCCTCCAACATAGATTATTGTAATTAGACCATAGTGCATTTGAGATTGTCAGTGATGTCATTAACTTTTGATTTTCTAAAAGAATGCAAAAAACCACTAGCATTGGCAAATTTAGAGTTTTTAAAAAAATCTGGGATACTGGCAAATAAAAAACTCACCTTCTTCTGTCTCTGTTGAATCTTGGCGGTGATGCCCTCCACCTTGGAGGAGGACCACCCCTTCTTGGAGGACTGCGTCGCATGGGAGGTCTGGCAGGGTTGCGTTGAACATGAACAGCAGCAGCAGTGACTTCTTGGCCGTCAATTTGTCCTTTTTGAAAAAGACAAGTAAAAAAAACTTTTATCTCCTGCTAGAATTTATCACTTCTCTCAAAACGCTGCACAAAAGATATTGTAAGATAACAATAAAAGGTTAGTATGTTACCAGAGGAGTGTAAAATACTTCAGATATTGCAGCCTGATCTACTTTTTGCTCTGCATTCCATTAACCCTGTATAGATTTTACTTAAAATAACTTCCCAGAGATTACATAACCATTCCATTTTGCACTCAAACGTGACAGCCCAGTAGAGTTCACCTCTTTCTGTGGCCCCACGGCACTATGCCCAGTTTTGCACTTGAGTTGTAATCAAATTTTAGAGTGGGTGAATTTAAATTTTAAAAAAAAAGCTTTTTGATAGCATTCAAGGGGTGGAGGAGAAGGAGGGGAGCAATTATTTTTCAAAGTGAATCCTGAAAATTTCCATAGAAAATGACCTTACTTTCCATAAAATTACACAAAAGTTGACCATGTTCTTTATTTGTAAATCTGGATTACGTATCTCTCACTGATATTGGTTACATGTTGTGAAATAGTTTGCATAATTGGATATGTTTTACAAAACTCATACTTTAAAGGTTTTATTTTTAATTAATCCTCACTTTAATTTTAACAGGTTTTTTTTACATATTAAAACTAGCCCGGCAGTTCAGAAACATACTGTAGGCTTGCCAGTTACAGGCTCAAGGTAGTAAGGAAACCTGTACTTTGCTTGCCCATCATAAAATTGTATTTGTTAATGGTCAATTCTTTGATGTAGTACATGCCCAACTTATCAGACTACTCTAGTTCTAACCAAAATTATATTATATTAAAATTCCTGCAGAAAATATTACAACAATGCAGCCAGCATGTAACTGTTTTATGCTGAAGGTGATTTATCAACACATTTTACAAATGCAGCAAGCCACTAAAAATAAACATAATTGTTAAAATTTAAAATAAAAACTAACTTTGGCTAGTTATCTTTCAAATAAATATTCTGCCTAATACTGTTGTGTAAAATCAAAAGCTTTGTATTGAGATTTACAGATTGGGAATGAATGGAAAGAATTGAACAATGGTATTGTATGCTACTTGACATGAGGGAAGGAAATCTGAAGATTGAAAAGTTTGCACTCAGGCCTATACGGTTTAAAACCCAGCATAACAGTATTAACAGGGATAATTCTTGACCAACATTGTTTAAAGACAATGGTTGTACCAAACTTAGTAACAAACGAAAAGCCATAGTAATAGGTATATTTTTAACTTATCCTGAAATAATTAAGTGAAATCTATAATCCAGTTTTTGGTCAACCATGTACAATTAATATGAGGTATGAATTCTATTGGAAGTTGCTGGTAAACAGTTAATAATAAATAAAACAATAATACTATAGGTATTCATTTATATTATTCTGCTGAAAAGTTTGCTTTATAAATTATTTACCTCCATCCATAAATTTGATTGCTTTAGCTGCTTCTTCTGAAGTTTCATATTCAATGTATGCAGCACTTCTATTAAAGTGTGCATGTATTCGATCCATTGGCATGTCAATATTCTTTATAGTTCCATATAGTGAAAAAATCTCTTGAATATGATCTTTGGTGACATTTCGAGTGAGATGTCCGACATGAACTTTGGTTGGTTTGGGAGTAGGACTCCTTTTCTTCCGTTTGGGAGTTCTAGATTTTAAAATATTTATTAATATAGTTACAAACATTTTAACCTAATAACAAAATAAACAAATAATTATTATACAATTATAAAATTAAATTTTTTAAAAAACTCCTATACAGTATTATAAAACAAAAAAAAACAAGAGATATTTACTCTGTCCTTTGTTTTCTGTCCCTGCCACGACTGCGGCTACTATCACTACTAGAAGATCTACTTGAACTTGAGCTTCCAGAGCGAGAAGAACTACCAGAACTAGAACTTCCTGAGCTGGAACTACCAGATGATGACGATCGAGTACCACTTCTAGAACGTGAGGAAGATCTTAAAGAGAAATTATTTTGGTAAATAAAAAGGAACTTGATCTGGACTATTTTTAGTTTATCCAAACTTTAGGAAGCTAGCATTATATTTACAATACAAACCACTAATTATGAGTTGAAATTCAAAACTTGGAAAGCTTTGTTTTACAATTTAACAGTCTTGATAAAATGTGTGTATCAATTAGAAAATAGTGAGGTCTTGGGCACAGGTAATCGTGTGATGACTATGTATCCTGAACAGGACAGGCCACAATTCACAAAATTGAGTTACCAGAATTGCCACAAACAGACATTGTGAACTAAACAAAAGCTTACAAAAAGAATGACTTCATAATCTTCATTGTTTTATAAATAAAAATTTCTTAGAGTACTTCAATTTGTCCTATTTTAAAGCTCCCCAAATCTCGGCAGCTGACATTTTACACATTATCAACATACATGTAGTAAGCAAAAGAGAAAAAATACATTTAGATAAATAAATCCCCCCCCCCCCCTCTTTTAATTTAAGCTAAACAGACAAAAGTACAATCAAAAGTAGAAATAGTCAAATATGTTTTTAAAAAATTGAAAAAAAAAAACCTTTTGATAACCAGCATTTATATAATTTTTGCCCAAAAAATAATTTATTTTCTTAATCTTCTTCGTTCTTAATTTTTAGTGTTGGAAGAGAGCGAGCCATATCTGCCAGAGGGTTTGAAATCGAGACTTTTTTCAAATTTATCAACCATGAGCTTTTTCCGACTCGACCACGCCTCCATCATAATTAAGGATACGTGTCAACTGGTTATGCGCCATTGACTCTGATTTCAGCCTGCTTTTCTTAATGATTTTCTTTAAATATATAATTACAAACTACTAATTAAATAACTAAAAAGAAAAACATTGAACACTTCTTCTCTTTTAGTAAAGATATTCAATTCAATAGATAAAATATAGACAACATAGTGACACATGCTTAGTACTTAATAGAAGAAACTTTAATTAATACTTAAAAATTAATTAAGCATCCAATAAAGCAAAATCATCATATTGCATTGTCATTGAATCACGCCCCACGGGCCAAGTTTTTAAAAAAAAGTCCGTTAGAAGTGGTCGAACTTTTGCTCGCCTGTTTCGACCCATGGCGAAGCACTAAGCAATAAAGAACAAGGAATCAAGTTAAATAAAAGACTGCAAAAACACAAAATTTCATCCACAGAATTAGCACTTTTCTGATATGTAAAATATGTAAATATAACTAATCTGGAGAACATATCTTTCTAAATAATAAAAATTGGTATGTTTGCATAATGTAAGACTGTTTAATCACGCTTTTCACTGAACAATGCAGCTCAGAAATCTGAAATATTACAAATCATTATGTTATTGAAGTAACAATATTAAAAACTCACGAGCTGCTTCTAGAATCGCTACTTGTAGATCCACCTCTTCTTTTTCTATCCCGAGTTCTATTTTCTTTTGATTCTTTTACATCCTTTTTTTTGTCAGGTTTATCTTTCTCATCACGAGACTTGCTGTCACTCCTAACCCTTCAATAAAACAATTTAAAATTTAGACTAAGCTACCAATGTTAATGGAAACAAAAATGTATAAACCATTTTTAGGATGTCAATATAAACACTAATTAGGGTTCATACATCAAAATTAAAAACAAACTCCAGGAGTTTTAAATAGATTTCAGGACATCTGTATTGTATGATCTCATTTATGTTAAACACAGGCGCTCATGTTTATCTAGAATGAGCACTAACAACAAGTTCAATTTAATTACAATTTACAGTTTCCCTTGTACTTGTAAACAATTTTAATAATTTTACAATTTAACAAAAGTAGAAAAGAATTTATTGTCAACGTGAAACCAATTTAAATGTAATGATCTAGTTGCACTATTTTTTATCAGTTTAATGTGAATGTCTTATATTATTAAAGATGGATATGGTACCAATAATTTTAAGCCTGAAATTTTTAGTTCATGTGATGGAAAATGTAATATGCCCAGACCAGATTAGCTGAAATTAGAAGGGGTTTACTATTTTTTTCAGTGTTTTGGAATTACTGCTTGAAAAAAACATTTCAGCCTTAAATAAAGTTCTTGAAAGTACCTACGCCAAATTGTTATTAAGTATATTTAGGCCTATAGCCTAATATATCTACCACATTTTAACTCCCCCTCTGTTATTAAAGCTACCCAAATCTACAGTTTCTATAATAGGCGTATGGTAGAACCAGGGTTGGGGTTAACATTGACATTAGCCAGCCATGTGTGCATTTGGCATTTAGTTAACTACCAGTAACCTAACGCCCCTTTTTTAAAGAAGATTCCATTATTATCGGACGCCGGTGTAAACATTTTCCCGAATAGAAGGAAGCCTGACCAAAACTATTTTATAATCCTCCCCCCCCCCCCCACTTTTTTTGGATGCTTGAAGATACCCATGTCCGATAATAGTTAATAGACTCTTCCTTCGAAAATAAGTTCATTAAGATGTGTTGAGTTGTTCTCTAAGTAGCTTTGTAACCTCAGAAACTAGTGTTATGGTTAGACAGTTTTTTAGTGGTCACATTGTGTAGCTGGGCCAATGCAAAAATTTAATTTCAGTAAAACAATATAATAGTTACATATTTGGATAGGGGCTGTCAATCTGATTACAGATCAGTTTAAATTTTCAAAATCTGACCATAAACAAAAAAGTTATGAATTTTTTTGTCATTAAAAAATAGCAGTTTTTTCAGACAACCGGGGTAGACCCTGAAAGAGGAAAAATACTGGGAGGGTATGGACCAAATTTTTAAGAGTTTTTCACTATTAGTGGTATTAAAGCAAGCAAACTTCATCAATTGATGTCATGTTACGGTATTTTATAGATTTTTGTATGCCGAATCCAATGATGCTATTTTAAAAAGTGTCCTTCGATTACATAATTGACTAATCTCATAGATTATGTAATACCCCCCCTTTCTATTTTTTTAAAACATCTAATAATCAATGTGATAAGAAGTCATTATTTAAATGTAACACTGTTTTAATCTATAATATGACGTTTATATATGCTGAAGCTAATGGTAGTATTTAAAATGGTCCAACATTGTTACATAACTATCATATGTTAAGGTTATGTAATACCACCCTTTGCTCACAATATACCATGAATTAGTTTTGAAATCACTTTTGCTCATTGTCAGTGAACTTCAAGTTAATAGCCTACTAAAAGAAAATATAACTAATCAAGTTTTACAATACAAACAGAAGAATGCTATTACAATAGTAAATTTGTGATTATGTAACTTCTTAAAAGATGTTATGTAATCTATGTCCAATACTTTAGGCCTACTCTATTCTAAAATTTAGGCCTATTTCATTATAATTATATTTCTTGTTAATTTGCTATAAAATTAGTCTAGTCACAAATGTGTCTGATCAGAATCAGAGTGTGCTTTATGATAATTACGTAATATTATTACCCATATTAAAATTATTCCTTTTTACAATTTCAATAAAATATTTTTTGGAGGAAAATTTTTTTTTAAAAACTTGCACAAGGTATAGATCTAGTGTAAGTTATAGGTCTATAACATAAATTATATTTAAGCCCAATGTTTATGCTAGTAGTAAGTAAGTAGGCTTATGTATTTTTGTAGGTCTACCAGTAGGCCTTTTACAATTAAAAACTTTCTTAAGAAAAAAGCACGTGTTTGAGTGCTTGACTGTGTAGATCTAGTAGATTCTAGAAATTGTGTAAGAATACAGTGTGTGCCTATACACAGACACGTGTACCACCACCAGCTTTTGCCTAGATTTTGTTTAATCAGACATGTGGGTAACCAGTCTTCTGACCAACGAATTTTATTGCCCTATTACGTAAACACAACCGCTGGATAGGCTAGTCGGCCAACCCGATGAACGTGTCAGACGAATATTATGTACTTTCAGAGACAAAAGTCTGGCAAGATTTCTTGATCTATGCCCGAGGGTTAGTAACATCAATTCCACAAAGTGAAGGGGGAGGTAGGTGGGGTATGAATCCACCACGAACTGAGTAGGTGCCGTACGGGTGTTGTACAACATCAAAGGCGACGACCGTTGGCTCGTCGCGTCACGGACTAGTGGGGGCGGGGTGAGGCTTACGTAGGCTATGGGTGTTACGTTGGGTGTTATACAGAATGCCCACCCACACCCACCCCATCCCTTTTTGGTCAATTTGGCAGGCTAGTATCCTCCACGTTGTTAAGCGTATGTAAGTGTGTAGTGAAAAAAAGGGGGACCGGGAAAAAAAATTAAAGCCGTTTTTATGAAAAAGAAATGCTCTAATTTTAAATGAAATTAGGGTGCGCGAAACGCAGAATTGTTATAATCGGACAGTAACCATCTGGATTAATTTTAAAAACAAGATAAATTTGAAACCTGATCCGTAAATATTAATAAGACTTTTTCCCCTTTAAATGGGTAAGGACAAAATTATGAAATTATGTCGGCTTATAGATCTAATCTATATAAAATAGAAATAGCCGTCGAGTCTAACACGGGAACACATGTAGGCCTATCTATCTTTAGAAATTGTTTACAGTATCATCCAATCGGATCGACCGCCTAGCGTCACGTGACCAGGCATTCGGATGAGCCACACGGTGTGTAGATCGACACAGCAGAGCAAACAGTCGGACAGCGGTCGGCGCGTTAATTTTAATTTTTGCTCCATTTTAAAATGTATGGGCGGCTTTATTTGGGGGTATTGTAGAGAAAATCATACATATAAATAAACGTCCAGATTTCAGCAATACAGCGCAGGGTTCAAATTAAAAATCGGTCTATAAATAACCCGGGAAACTTGGTTCAACTTTGCTGTACGATATCTCCGAAAGTATTTAATATATTTTGACGACGAACCCTGCGCTGTATACGTCTACATCTAATCTGTATTTCTGCCAAGTTTCACTGTTGAATGGCGAAAACTCGAAGAGTCTATAGACTCAAAGTAGCACCCCTGTTTTAAAAAGGCGAAAAAGCCTCCCCCCTAATCGGCACGTCGCCGCGGAGGGTAAAAAATGCGATTTAGTCGGCGATTTCTTCAACTTTTGAAATCATATTAAAATCAAAATTATACAGTTTAAAAGGTTATTCAATTACGAACAAAATGGTGTATAACATGTTAATATAAACACAATAAAATCATGCAAAAAACAGAGTTAAACATGCAGGGGGTAGGGAAAAGCCGATTTGTCCGATTTTCTCAGCAGCGGCATTGGCCTAGCTACATTGTGTGAGACATGATGAAGTAGGGTTAGGCGTATGGTAGGACTATGGTTGCTCCAATGGTGGGGTTAGCCTCGAATAGTAGAGTACTGACGAATACTGTCGAATACCTAACAAACACTGATAACACTGGCAGTGGTACTACTAACCACTGTAACCAGCCTAACCAGTAGTAACCTACAGCCGCAGCGTGACAGCCAAACAAAAACTAAACAATCCAGGACCCACTAATATGTATAGGGCCATTGTGGCTATACTTTTTAGATCTAGATCTAGTTACATTAAATCTAGGTAAATATGTGTAGATCTAGATCTAGATGCTTACATTTTTTTCTTCTAACTCAACCAGAATCAGACAGAATTCTTTGAAAGCTTGTCGATTTATAATTAGGTTGCTCCAAACGCCGAAAAAATTAGTTGGTCATTAGTTTTGACCAAGAAAATTTCTGAGTAAAAACCCAAACTTTAATATTGTTTTGCGTTTTTTGTATTCCGGGACCTCTTTACTAAAGTTTATGCACACAATTTCTTTTTTTTAATAGCTTTAGATTTTCAACATTCAAACTGGAGTTAAACAAAAACTGTTGATTTCAATTTGATGAAAATATTTGAAAATTTAAGTTATTTAATTATTTTTTAGATTGCTTAGGCCTATGACTTGTTTATTCTTCAAATAAAATGCCTGCTTCTAATACTTAGTAAATAGCATACCAGAATTGCATGTTATAAATAAGGTGTTACTGGCATTTTACTATATTGTAACATGTTGACCATTGTTGTACACATGTCATAATTTGCATGATACTCGACCGATGAAGATGAAATTTGGTATACGATGTCACCAACTACATCATTTTCCATAGATAATGTTTTGGACAGAAATTCTGAGGTCGTGTCGGAAGGGGCTAGACTAGATGACACTAGATGTAGTTAGCAGGTATTTGTGCTTCATTCTAATCTAAGCATAGCGTGTATGTTGAAGTGATTGAAAAAACAAAAATACGGCCTATAAATCTAGTTACAAATAAACTTTTATCTCTGATAAAACATCGTGTGCTGTTTAACTTTGTATTTACAATTACAGTGCCCGTTGCCGCAAGGCTAGAAGAAAGTTTGACGAAAAATTTTGAGAGGGTTTCATCAATACGTTACCAATCTTATATTCTTAGACACATCCTTATTTTCTAAAACTGAATTTCATAATGGAGATTGATTAACGCAAACTCAATTCTTCCATACACTACACCCTATAGTAGTGTAGGCAAACACCTGCCCCGACAAATATGATCCAAGAAAAAGAAAAATGCTCACACAGAAAAATGCGCAAACCGAAAATTGAGCACACAGAAAAATGCGCGTTTTTTTTTCTGTGTTCGCATCTTTCTGTTTGCGCATTTTTCTGTGTGCGCAAATTTCTGTTTGCGCTTTTTTCTCTTGCGCATTTTTTGTGCTTTTTTCCATTGCGCTTTTTTCCTTTGCGCATCTTTCTATTCACCGTTTTGCACTATGAACAATATCCACGATCTATAAGTATATTTAAAATTTTTGTTTAGGCCATAATAATATAGAGCAGGGGTCTTCAAACTACGGCCCGCGGAGATCTTTTTGTCCAAGGAAAAAATCGTTTGTTGGTGATGGCTGAGGAACTTTGTTCAGAAAAATCAAAGACATGCCTGGAAGAAACTGGCCCCCGAACTGAAATTTGATAGTTAATGCGGCCCTCGGACTAAAAAGTTTGGAGACCCCTGGTATAGAGTCTAGATTCTATGTGCTTTTTAATACACAAAATAGTTTGGATATTAGACTAACCATATTTTAAAAATCTAGGCTTAACCAAAACATACTTTAACATAGTACATAGGACACAGATCTAGATCCAGTAAATTCTCTCGACGATCATAGTCTTGTAGATCTAGATCTAAAAAAGATTCTAAAATCAAGCTAGAGGCTGTCTATTCAGGAAAACGTCCTAGTTCTATTCACATTATCCTGTTTCATTCTTTATGTAAATATTAATATATATAAATATCTACCTACAGTTTTGGGGGGGGGGGGGGGGTACAAATCCAGGGTGATTTTTTTTTATAGGCCTACCCTACACCCAGTGTCTAATAATAGAATTAAGTCGTCTTTAAAAGGAGTGTTGTTTCTGGTAGCTAACTGAATACATTGGCACATGGCTTGCTAATGTCAATCTGAATCAGTGCTAACCCCAACCAGGGCCAGTGTTACCTATAAAGATAAGTATAAGGCGAACTAGGTGGTCGCCTAGGGCGCTATCCATCGGGGGGGGGGGGGCGCAAAAATGTGTAATCTCCAATAGTAAAAATTATAATAATAATTAAGAACTTTGATTACATTATATAAACTTTCAACTTTAGGGTAATATATACTAAGGCGTGGCGATCTATTTCGATGCCAGAGACGAACTATTAATTTTGCACCCCATCTTCAAATTAGACCTATATACTATATATACTTATTCGCGTTGGTGAAAATGCGCCCCCAACCTCCCTCACTAGGAAATGTTGGGGCGCTTTTTACCAGTCACTTTGCCTTTTTATTTTGGTGTCAAGCAATTGATGTAGAAAATTTAAATTAAGCCAAGTTGCAGTCAACATTCTTTATTTCGACTGTATATAATTTAGTAATGAGCTTTTTTTAAAATTATCTGCCGCGTTTGGCGCCCCCTTTGGATCGGCGCCTGTGCAATTTTGATTTTTAAATAGGGCTAAGTCTCATTTTCTCTCACTTTGAATTAGAAATCTCGTTAGCCAGAGGGAGATTCAGATTTTCATACTAAATTTATTGTTGGCACCACAAGATCCTAAAGAGAATTAATATTCTAATACACACACATGCACACACCCACCAGGGGCGGAACTACAGTGCCGTCAGACCCCGCATTGCGGGGGGGAGGGGGCTCCGGGATGTTTAGGGCCCGCAGCCGACCATAATCAATTTTTTTACAGTTAAAAAAAAATAATCATCTTGCATTTTTTACTTGATGGATGTTTGAAATAATATGAAGCATGAAAGTATTGTATTTTAAAAAAAAATAATAATTAAGAGAAGTAATTGCTTTCTAATTTGTTTAATGCAAATCTATTAAAAGGTGCTTAAGAGCACACATATTTGACTATTTAAAAAAAGGGAAATAAGTCATGGAAGTGGTTTGAACGTTTGCGTATCTTTCATGCGATGGATTTATTTTCAAAAGAATTTTGCAGACAACAGCATGTTTGATTGTAGGAGAAAGAGGACTCGAGATGGTGTCTATAGAATTCAAAACAGACTAGATCTAGTTCTAATAGCAGTCACGCAAATGAAGTGGTGTAACTTGTTTTTACTTTTTAATAAAAACTAAGTATTTTAAATTATTTTTTTAAAAACTCGAACAAGCCCAAAATGAGTATTCTATGTATCATATTTTCGTCTATATATGTATATATATATATATATATATATATATATATAAAATATGATATTGGGGTTTGAAAAAAAAATTTGGGGGGGGGGGGGGGGGCGTTTTAATAAGTTTTGCCTAGGGTGCTAAATAGCATGGCGCCGGCACTGGCCCCAACCCTAATCCTACCCCATACACCTAACTTCTAACCATAAAACTAGTGGAGGTTCGGTGACTAAACCTGACATTACAAAGCTACTAAAAATCTAGCCTAACACCTATTATTGGAAGAGTCTTCTGTCGGACATTGGTAATACTGTAAAACCTATGTGCATGACACAGTGCTAATGTATTGCGTAGTGCATTGAAGTAGTAGTCAGTCTCACTCTTAAAATGTTTTTCTTTTTTCTTCAGTACACAACTCCTTGAGTAAACCAGTATATATATCTATTAGTACATTTAGTCTTACACCTCTTATAAGTCCTAATACAAAAAGTATGCTACTAGATCTAATACCTAGACTAGTTAATATATAAACACTTGACAAGTAGGAGACTAAGTACTAAGATATTTATGTTGATACTTGACACTAACCAATATGTTGACATTCTGCTAATAGTGCAACTTAAAATAGTCACATGAACTATGTTAATTTGGTTTTCTCAAATTAAATTATATTCTTTTTATTTTAGTTTTTTATAACCTTTTATTTATTTTTATTTTCTAGCTATTCCATCAAAGTTACTGGGAAAAAAATATGGCTGCCTCCATAAAGAGAGATGGTGAGAATCTCTGTGAAATCGATTCACTACGAGAAATTTCTTCTCAATTTTTTGAGATGGTTCCAGTAAGAAAAATGAAATGGAAGGTAGATATTGATAATTAAAATTTTTTAACAATATGAAAGTTATAAGCATGTTTGGACTTAAGCAGCCAGTTTAAAAAATAAACTCTGAAACGAAAATCTAACCAGCTAATGTTAAAATTACATGCTCTAATTAGGATGAGGAAGCCGCGCTGCTTGTTTCAAGTCCACAACTGCAGCAACATCTTTTGCAGGCAACCGTTAGACACCCTGTGTGTTGTAGTTTTCCACCAGCTTTGTCTTACATGCGGAGCTTCATGAAGCTGCTAATTCAAAAAGTAAGAGAAGTGAATTTTGTTAGTATGATTTTAAAATATACAACTGTATAATTTATTTGAATTGTATCCTGTAAAAAACACAATTTTTTTTTTTAAGCTGGAGTCAGAAGATGCAGACATTTGTGATGAAATGTACGAAACATATACAGAGCTACTTTCTCGTAGTGATGAAGATGATGAAACACTGTGTTACAAATCATACAAAATGGTATATTTGCTTACTCTTTCAGAAAATCAGTGTGACTTTCTGCTGTTGCCTTTCAAAACCTGTTTAGAAATGTGCAGCTTCACCTTGGATTCAGGCTGCGTTGTGTTCTTGTATTTTTCATCTCCATGCAGCTAAGGAATCATTCTCTTAGTTTTGCCTGTGCTAGACTAGAATCGCTTAACTTGGTATTGGAAATCAGACTAGAATTGCTTAACTTGGCATTGCAAATCATGTAGTTAGGGCACAGACTCCCATTAAGTTCCGTTATAAGTGTGAATCTATATTGTACATTTCGCCCGACCACTTTTTTGCTCAACCTAGTATGAAGATGTTAAGAAATAAATCACATGACGTACAATCACTGTAGTCACAAGTCAACTACTGGGCCACAATATAAAAAAGCATGTTTGTCACAGCATGTATATATACGATCAACGTGTGCCTGTATAGGTGATGTTTACATAATTCTTAACGTATGTGTGTTGTGACATTAAGGGTTCCACAATATAGAAATATGATACCAACGTATGTTATCTCACTCTGGTGCACTTATTGCAGATGCTAATTTTATTGTCCGCTCAGATAAAATCCAATAGCAAAACAACTTAGTTGGGTATCCATCTTGACCTCCGCCGAACCCCTGAGACTAACTCACAAAACCCCTGGAGCTCGATCAAATCCACGTTGAGAACCTCTGATCTAATCAAAGTAGTTAGGATGTCTAATGGTTGACGAACAAAGCAAATTATAAATTAAGATGTGTTTTTCAAAAAACATTGTCTACTTATGCTAAATGTTTTAAGACTAAACCCAGACCCAAAATCTATTCCATTTTATTACGAAAAACTTGCTTGATTTCTTACCGAATTAAAGTAAACTTTTTCTTAATATTAGCTTTCAATTTTTTTTTTAAATACTGCTAATTTACATGTACTTCATTTCATGATGGCCTAAAAGCCTTCTGGAGAGTGTATTTCACTTCAAGAATCTGTTCACCTTGTATCACAAGGAACTACTGGTCTTAGCACATGGCAGGTTAGTGGTTTAAAATGTTGCTTAAAGCATCTCAAGCATTTAAAAAATAAATTCAGAAGCATAAAGAAATATTATAAATAATTGGTTATTTTTGTTATTCCTAATGAGCTTGATAAGCGTATTGTTTGTTTAATTGAAAATTGTAAATTCTTGTTATTTAATAGAATCAGTGAGTGCCCAGGTATTCAATATTAATACATTATTATTATTGTATAGAATAATTTCTGTCACTGTTACATGCAGTTTGATTACTAATTTTTTTCTGTTTTTAAAGGCAGCACAACATCTAGCTGAATGGGTCCTAGAAAATGCACAAGTTTTTGATAATAGGTATGTTGTAACATTACTGCATGTGTACCACTGCCAGTGGAACAAATCATCTTAGATACTAGTAACCCAAATGAAAAACTGAGTTAAAGATTCAAAAGTTAAATGTGAATTTTTATTTTTTGTCTAGATCTGTGACAGAACTGGGAAGTGGACTAGGACTTACTGGGATAGTTGCCTGTAAATACTGTCAGATACGAAGCTATGCATTTACCGACTGCCATATGCAAGTTCTATATCTTTTGTCTAAAAACATTGAGCAGAATCTTATCATAGACCATCAGAGAACTGAATCAGAAACATCAGATCTAGATAAGAAAATATTGCGTAAAATTAGAAAACAGTTAAGTCTTTCTTCTGATCAGCAGAGCCCAGAAGAAGAAGAAGATTCATTATTAAACGACATTGAGAATAAACAGGAAGAGGATATCAATGTTGATGCTATTTATTCAGACCCAGTTGAATTAGATGTAAATAGAAATGTTTGGGACACAGATGCCTCACATAGACTTGCTACACTTAAAGAGGATAAACGAGTGAGCATTTGTCATCTTGACTGGGAATGTGTTAAAGGAAGAATACTTGAAAAGTTAAAGTCAGATATTATCATTGCTGCAGGTAAGATTGATTTTTGTATCCTTTTGGCAAGCTTTAAAAATTACACACATTTTCATGGTCAGCATGGTCCGATCAGTAAAGCTTGTGGTTGCTAAACATCAAAGTCCAGAGTTTGAACCCCTGGGCAGATGAGGTTCGATAGCTGGGGAAAGCCACTCTTCTAGGAGAGACCTCCAAAATCAAACAACTGTTACCTTGTAGATTGTTCTTGGTTGGGCAAAGGCTATGGAAACAAATTCAGATAGAAAAAAGGCTGAAATCAGAGTCAGCTGCCTATACAGCGCATAAGAATTTGACATGTAATACTTGTTAGGGAAGAAATCCCTTCCAATATTACAGTTAAGAACAAAGAAGAAGAAAGAAAAAGCAGTAGCTTTTCTATTTAATCCCATTTAGTAGCTCCAATTTGTGTCTGGTGTATAGGAGCCAATGCACATGTTCCTGGAGGCCTGATACCATAACACTTTCCTAATAGATTTTGAAAAGTTTGTTTATAAGGTCACAATTGTTCTAAGCTTGTTGCTAGTGCTACCTTAACAGATTTAAATATTCTTCATGTCTAGCTGGGATAAATACACTCCACTCGTATGATCATCTGCATAGTCAAATATAACTGTTGGTTACTGTATTTCAGATGTTGTTTATGATACCAGCATTATACCAGCTTTAGTTTTTGTGTTAAAAAGTCTACTAGACACTGGGCCAGACAGTAACAGAAAACCAAAAGCTTATATTGCTTCAACTATAAGAAATGAAGACACCAGAGATGCTTTTCTTATTGCAATGGGTATGTTGGTGAAGTGAGATTCTGGTTATGGTTATCAGTAGGTTGGAAAAGTGATTCTGGTTATTGCAATGGGTAGGTTGGAAAAGTGATTCTGGTTATTGCAATGGGTAGGTTGGAGAAGTGAGATTCTGGTTATTGCAATGGGTAGGTTGGAGAAGTGAGATTCTGGTTATTGCCATGGGTAGGTTGGAGAAGTGAGATTCTGGTTATTGCCATGGGTAGGTTGGAGAAGTGAGATTCTGGTTATTGCAATGGGTAGGTTGGAGAAGTGAGATTCTGGTTATTGCCATGGGTAGGTTGGAGAAGTGAGATTCTGGTTATTGCCATGGGTAGGTTGGAGAAGTGAGATTCTGGTTATTGCAATGGGTAGGTTGGAGAAGTGAGATTCTGGTTATTGCAATGGGTAGGTTGGAGAAGTGAGATTCTGGTTATTGCAATGGCTAGGTTGGAGAAGTGAGATTCTGGTTATTGCAATGGCTAGGTTGGAGAAGTGAGTTCTGGTTTCAAGTCAGATTGACACCCCCACCCCCCAACCCTGAGTTGTCCATGAACTGAACACAATTACATAAGTATTTTTTATAAATTTACCAAAAAAAGAAAAGTACTAAGTTTTATCTTTTTACCCAGCTTTTCCGTGTATGCATGAAGTGAGGGTCAGGTGGGTGGGGTGATATGCGTAGATTGTATAAAAATGAACACATCCAAAAAAGCTAGTTAATGTGTATAATTTTGTTTGATCTACTTCCAGGTTCTGAAGGCTTAAATTATACTGTTGTGGAGTCACCAAAACAACACAGATTTTACTATGATCGTTCAGTTCCCATTGAAATATTACAAGTCTCAGCTCATTAGTTATGAAATGAAGAACAAAAAGGGACCAAAATTATGTGTGCAACTTAACTTCAAGATAGATTATGATGCATAGATTTTTTTGTTTGCAGTTGTCATAAATAATCAGGAAGATATTGATTTAATGATACTATAAATTTTGGAAAGTGCCCTTAATCCTTCTTTTATCTAGTCATGTATCAGTAAGTTGTGGTGTTCATTTTTTATTGTAAAGAGTAAAATGACAACAGACATTTGATTTATCCTTTAATATAGTATTACACTTTCCTGATTGCTAAGATGTTTGAATTGCTAATTTGATGTTGAATTAAAAATATTATACTGTAAGCCAACATGAGTAGATGTATGGTTGGGGATAATAAAACAGGAACCTGCTAAAACATTTCCACTTCTGCTTAGTGAGCTTCACAAACCAAGTTCTGAACTGTCAAATCTCATACAAACAAACATGAAATTCTGAATAATTTCTACTTTGATTTATTCTGGAAACTGTTCTGATGTTTATGTCTATCGTGCATTAAATTGAAAGGTTACAGATCCAAGAAAAAATGTGAACATGCATTCAATAAAGCTTGCAGAAAAAAGTGTTTAGTCTTCCAACATTCTTGCACATTATATAACACTCATGTAAAAATGTAAATTAAGAAAAATTTACCCTCAGTGTTAACCTTCTAGTAGTGTACATGTAAAATATATCACAGAAGAAAAGATTTCAGAGCTTAAAAAAGTGATTTAAATGACCCCTTCTAGTGTCAGATATTGTCAACTACTTGCCTCGTCATTTTGGCAGATATTTTACCACATTACATATGGTTTTACATGATTTCATACTATTTTATTCAAAGCTGCATAATGATCTAAGAGCAAATAATGCAATTCTTTGATAATTCTTTGTTTGAAAATGCATTTTAGGACTAAACGAAAGATCTCTCTCAAAAGCAAATTTGATGTAATTTAACATTTTGTAACAAAATACAATTACATAAATCAAAAATGTTGAAAAGATTGCATACTGTCAAAACAGATCTATGTTAATTGTCAGTGGCATACACTTTTAAGTGTTGGCAGAAGTAATTCCCCACAAGGTGACCATCATGATGAAGGATCTGTTATCACACTAAAAAAATAACAATACAATGAGCATTTAACTCTAGGTTGCGAACATGTCTATTCATCTAAAAGCTGACATTTTATTTAGCAAAACACATTAAATCATTAACAACGAAGACAACTAGCAAACAATAAGGCGATGCTTTTAACAAATTTACATCATTACCTACAAGATACTGTTCATTTTTAAATCGATTGGAAACATTCAGAATGTTTTAAATAATTCTGCTTATGATATGTTGATCTGGAGTTTTTTAAAGTAATGTATTACACTAATAATTTAGAATTAAGATAATCTAAAACAAATCTTTGTCAAAAAAAGAAGAATGTCAGTATAAATAGTAAATTCTGTTAACCACATAGACATTTTAAAATACAAAACAAATGCTATTTGTTCCTTTTAAAAACAAAAGACTGTCAATTCTACAGATTTTGCTATGCCATTGATGTACACATTTGGAAAATAATAAAAATGGGTGTGGAATGAAGAAAAGGAAGTCACATAAAAATCATCTATTGAAGTATTTATTGCAAAATAAAAAAAACAAATGGAATTATTTTTCAGCATAGTTGCTTCACCTTTCAGAAAAAAAATTAGGTTTTGGCTTTGTGATTAAAGCCTTGTCACTTGACTAGAGATATTTTTTAAAATACATAAAGAATCATGAAAAGGGGTTAAAATGAACACAAATTAGCTGTCTACTGAAATGTAAACAAAAATAATACTTTAAATGAAGAAAAAAAAGTAAATAGATTAAATAAATTGTGATAAATTATTTTGTGTAACGGAATGATAAAATAATTGAACAAAAGAATGTCAGAATTAAAAAAAAAATATGATCAAACAAATATCTGTTGAAAATCTAGTAAAAATTATTTGATATAATTAGCAAGTAATTAATGATAACACCATTAATAATTACAACACAAAATGGAAGATTAAATTAAGTCTACCCGGATATGCATCTTTTGTAAGTAGCTTGGTTTATTATTCTACTTTATTCCAAAAACAAACTATTTATGTATAGGTATGAACATATTTTATTACTATTTCACTTTTTAATATAAAAAATAAAACAGTCAAAAGAAATGAAAATTAAAAATGTCCTTATCTTTTTTTTTTCAAGTACAATTAAAAAAGCAAATGTTATGTGATTGTTTTAATACATTACAATATAAATGTACATTAACTAATTTTCATTTCATTGATTAAGACTTAATTATTTGTGAAATTATAAAAGGTGATTTTTGAGCTAATTGTAATACAATAATTAAAATAATGTAGAGAACTGAGATCATAAAAAGAATTGAATACTATTAAGAGGGTATCACCAAAACCATAAATAAACATAAAACATTAGTTCACTATTTTTTTCAGATAATAAGAAAGTAACAATCTGGTCTCTAAATGGTAAAAGATTGAGTCTATCATTTAAGATATCCAATCAAATTTTGTTAAAGCATTGTGACAAAATGAGACGAAATATAAATAATAGTATAGGAATGTTGAAGGATTGTCCATTGACTAGAGAACTAAACATCACAGTAAAAGTAACAACATATTCCTTAAAAGAGCTTAAAATGAAACACTACTTGAGATTTCATATAAATGGACAATGCTTGTGACTGTTTGAAATGTAATGCAGCTTTAACAGTGTAACATTATTTAAGGGGTTTTTGTTGTAAGAATTATTTTGCACAGACAAAAAGAGCAACATCTGTAAACATTTTACCTGATACATGAAGTGGCTGTGGTTAAGCTAAACAAAAGAATTTTTTTCACTTGTTCCTCAATTCAGTTTCACAGTGTTTTTGTATAACGGTAAGATATTGTATGTAACTAACATTAAAAAATAAGAACTTATTCAGCACTAAACATGTACACCTACAGTTTTCGAGTGATACTTTACTTTAAAAGTTGCAGGTTCATAAACATAAGTTAATTTTTTTTTAAGTAAAGCATAAAAAAAAACTAAAATCTAGAAAATTATGAATTTGGTAGCTAGAAGTATTGTATAGCACAAACTGAAACCCTGTGTTGAACTTTCTACAGCCATTCACATGGGGGGGGGGGGGGGGGGGGGTGTTAAAGCTAGTCTAAGTAAATTACTTATTAATGTTCTGCAGTAGCATTAAATTATAGTTGAATCTATTGAATAAAATTCCTTTCTTCTTAGTGACACCTGACATCTCATCAAGATGTAAATGAAATTAGAGGCAAAAACAACTGTATGTTACATGTACATTTGTTTATAAATTGATATTAAGAATTTCCTATTAAGAAACAGCTGTGACCAGTAAAGACAGGACATTTACAAAGCTCTACAACAGAACAATATAAGAAATATAGTTTTAAAATGACAAAGGGTTTCATGTGAATCTAAAAAAATTAGTGCATTAATTAGGAAGGGAGAAATTTGAGAATACACAATATTTATGCATCCAGTATTATTATGGATCATTCCAATCAGTGTGAACATTCACTGAATCAGAATTTGCTAAACATCCACATTCATATAAGATTTATAGAAAACGATTATCATGAACCAAAATGTCTTACTCTAAGAAAACAATCTCAATTTTAATAAAAAATTTACAGTGAAACTAATCTGAAACACAAATGCTAGCTGCGTTGATGATATTTATCCATAAAAATTGCACTTTAATGAGTTTGACTAATATAATGCATTTAACAGCAACATGAAATAAATGTTAACACTCTTAATGTTACAACGCATTTACAAATTCAATGTTGTGATCTATGGGAAAGAAACATGACATCACTAACATTAAATACATTTATTAATACTACAATTTAGCTATCAATAAAATAATTCTAAACTTCTTTTTGTCCGTCCAAACACTAACGTATTTGTTTGTAAAACGCTGGAACATCATTTAAAAATCATACAATCATAAAAATATAAAACATTAACATTTTCTTTACTTATTGAAATAAATCTTACTAAGTAATTAAATTTATTTAAATGTAAATGTGTTCTATGAATTTAACTGAATTTTCCACAATTAGTATGTACAGTACTAAGAATATACTGTGATTCTTTCAGCATCAAAAAATTTAAAGCAAAATATTTTACATACTTACAGCAACCAAGTTATCCTAAACAAAGTAAACCGTTAGCCTTAGCTTTATACCTGTCTATATTAATTCTTCAGCAGTTATAGACTGACAAAAACTGATTAACATTTTTATAAGCAGATTTTCCAAAAGATAATAAACTGGTTACTGGTTGAATAAACCCCCAAAATAATTTTAAAAACTAATTTTTTTATTTCACCCTGTCCCCAATAATAGTTACTGTTAAAATGCATAGTTGTTTTTGTCACTATGTGTCAAATTAAAAGGATCATAAACTACAAGTATTTTTAAGTTTTAGTTTGCATGATATGGTTAGCATGTTGATGTACATTTTACCCGTAATTATTTCATGCTTGAAAGGGAATAGAGTGATAACTGATAATTTCTTTAAGTGTAGAAATATTACAGGTTTCAAACGCGAATGATTAAAAGACATCAACCTACACACTAAATATAGCAATAAAGAACTAATTTTTATAGCTTTTATTTTAGTGAAGCACAAAAAATAAGTTCACAATGCACAAAGTTATTTCCCAATATTTTATGAACTGATTCAAACTTTTTAATTTCCTGGCAACTTTCAATTACAGATTTTTCTTGAAAAAAAAATTGGTTTCTAATATTAATAACAAAAAGACTAAATAATGCAAATATAAAATTAATCCACTCCTTCCCACGGAGCAACAACATTGGTTTTGCTGGGAACAGCAATAGCTAAACAAGAAGGGGCATCATTCTTACTGGAATCAGCAGCTATTACAGCAGAATATTTAGGAACTTCCAGCTGCTTACTCTTCCGTGGACTTCCTTGAGGTGACCGTAAGCTGTGACGTGCCACCAAGTTAGGTGAAGTATCACTGAAACAATTGTTATCAATAATATAAAGATTAACTTAATAAAATAAGAGTACTTTTGAGTTCCGAAAAAAAGAGATATGCTGTGTAAGCCTATGACCAAGTAATAATAAAATCATTAATATTTAATTTTTAAAATTCATAAATGAATACTTATTAATTCATGACAACCAAAACATAATATTTTTCTTATCTGTTTAGTAAAAAAATAAAAGATTTAATAAGAAGAGGAACTATAATCACATCTAATTATAAAAATTCATAAATCTTTAGTTTCTTTTATCATAAGCAGATGAGTATAATATAAGTTTCAAACATTAAAAAAGTTTAACAATAAATAAGTAATAAATATATGTGAAAAAAATGAAAGTATTAAATGCATGCTAAAAAAATTCATTTTGTTTTGAGTAACATCACATAAAATTTATAGTTAACGGACCTCTCATTTTTTCAATCATTTCTAAATGCTATAAACCACAGCAAAAATTATTTATTTCAACACTAATGATTATGAAAACAAATGTTTTAAAATGTTACAATATGGAGTTTGTAACAGATTTTGTCATTTAAATAAAATAAAAATATCCAAAACTTTTAATCTATGAAGAATGGTGAGCATGCCATTTGACAACTTAAAGCTTCAAGTGCATGCACAATCTAACAAATAACATTTACTGTATTATATATTGCCCCATGTAGTTTTAGAGATGAATTTTAATATCTTTAGTTTGATTAAGATGATACGACATTGTTTTAGACCACTGTAATATATTTTCTTTTACAGTGAAAACAATCAATTTCTTTGCATTAATCTTGGATTCTTATTAATGATTTAATTTATAATGCTAAATATATATCATAATCAAAATATATAATATTTCTAAGATTTTATTTGCAACATAGAAGTTTTCAAGCAAATTACTCATAACCATAATCACTTATAAGATAAAAATCTTACCACCTTGCTAGACTGCTGTCTGATGAGTTTGCATCTCGTCTGAAAACAATTATGGGTATGCATCACTGCAAACTTAACATGCTCAAACAAATCTTTAAGATATTGGTAACAAACAAAAAAGCATTCTTTAATAACAAATCGAAAAAACTAAGAAAAGCTGGTTATATAATTAAATATTGGCCTTGAATTCTTATAGACTTTTCAAAGCAATGTACTGTTGAAAATAGAAATCATATTTACTTACTATTCAAAAACTGGCCATCTTTACTATCTAATTGTCTATGCAAGAGATAAATACAGTATTGACATCCAGTAAGGTATTAAAAATCTACTATCAATATTTACCATGCAAGACTTATGAGAAAAAAATTGGAGCCAAAACATTTAACTTTACCAGTTTTTTATATTGCATTTAGATTTAATATTTAAAGGCCTAATTCTTTTTTTTTTAAATGTAGCTCCCATTGAATAATGACAACCAATAAGGACCCTTCTTTATTTAAGTGTATATTGATGTTTATATATAAAAGATTCTAAGCTAGATTTCAATAAATAAATACAGTACTAAAAATGCAAGGCAAATATGTTTTCTATTTTAAAAAATGAAATGTAAATGTTAAAAAATAATGTAAGGAAGATGCTACTTTATAAAACAAAACAAAAATAAATAAAAAAAGACATAACTTTAAACAACCATGGCTCAAAACTCATGCCACGACATTAATTTGTTATTAAAATAATGAAAATGCCTACCTAAAGGATAAAAACAAATTGTTCCAGCATTCATTTTTTTTTTTTTTACTAAAGAGCATAATGTAAAAATAAAATGGAACTATACCTTAGCATGACTGAAGATTTGTCATCTAATTCCCGAAGATTTCCTGTACTGTAGGAATGGTGTGCAACTCCTGCATTTTCCATGTCAGCATCATTGCCTGCACTGCCACGGCGTTTAGGTTTAGGACTTGGGGTCAATGTATTTTTTTTACGAGAGCCAAAACTGAAAAATCTTGTAGAAAAATATATGCTGGTTATAAGTTAGAATCTTATTTCCATCTTGTTAAGCTATTTCAAGCAATTAATACTTGATCAAAGATATCCCCATAAATCAATAAAGAAGTTAAATATAATAGAATGGTTAAAGTTTCTATCTAAAGTTTTGTTTACAAGTAAAGAACCTACTTTTTCTTCCCACCAGGTTGTGCCGCAATATTTAAAAGTGCTTTGTACTGCTCTGATCGAAGAAATCGCTGATAGGTATCCTTCTTCATCAAAGAAAATATTTGTTCTTGGGCACTATCAAAGGTGTATCTATCAAAAAAAAATAATTAATGTAACTGCTACTGTACTTAACTTTAAGGCCTCTCTGACATCTCTGAAAGATGTGGATGATTGTGGGATCTAGTTTGAGCTAAAGCCTTGGCAAACTATACAGACACTTATAAACAAAACTTCATGTCAAACAAAAAGTAATTAAAAAGTAAAGTCAAGTACCTGTTAGGTTTCGATAATTTCATATTCCTTTGAACCTCCTCGCTGCATCTGCTGTCTATATTGATTTCATGAGGGGCTCCATCTGTTAAAAATTCTCTGTAATGTATAAATACAGTGCTTTAACACAATGTTATAATAAAAATGTCTAAATAATCAACTTTTTTAACCAATATATTTATGTAAATTTTAATTAAAAACAAAGAAAATAATAATTATCTGAACACTGAAATCAACTAACTCTGCAATTTTCTGTATACGATTTTCTACTTCAGACTGCCGGCAGAACTTTAAGGCCTCACAAGCGCTCCAAAAGCTAAAGTTCTCATGGCTGTATTCTTTAATAAGAAAATTCTCAAACTCGTATCTCCCACGTGGATCTGTTATCAGTGCTTGCAAGCTGTAAGACCACTTCTTTATTCTTTGCTCTGTTGGAACTTCTGTGCTGTTAAAATAGAAATAGCTAACTCGATCAAGCAGATTCATCACTAACATTAATGTTAACATATTTATTAAAACTATTTAAAGCTAATTTTAAAATTATAGAGGCCTACTTGTTATCGCTAATCTCAAAGAAAGCTGTATCATCTGATATCCATGGATTAGATGGTATTGGAGCTGTTAACATAGGGTCAAGATCAAAGTACTGTTCCGCAAAATGTTCTAAACTGAAATTAAAATCAGCCAATGCTATTTCTGATTTTGTAAAATGCATTAAAGTTAAGTGAATTTAAAACAAAATATAATTTGAGCTTTACTTGTAAAATAGTTTGGTAGCATTACATTTTAAATAATCTTCTTCATTAAACACAATGGGATAAGGTCCCAAAAAACAAATACGCATTTTAAAAATATATATAATTAGAATAGATAAGAATAACCTGGTTTCAAGTGAATAAGTATATGGATAAATTTACATTAAAATGTATGAGTTTCTTCACTGATTGAGACCTAGTGACAGACAAAAAAGATTTGACATTTGGATACTCACTTTTCAATTGCTTTGGAAGTCTTTACTCTACATATATTTATGGATCTCAACAAATATTTTATCTGTAAAATAAACAAAAGTCAAAATGAAATACATAGTGAACTTGAGTGCAAATAAAGAGATGTTCAATAATAAATGAATTGTATATCCCAAACTTCAAAAGTAGTAGATTTTTATAAAAAAATAAAATAAAATAAATAAATAAAAATAACTCACTTCCTTTTGAAGTAGGTCTTTGTTTTTCTTCCGCCTAGCGGCCATCTGACTAGGTTGAAAATTACGTTTTGGACCTTCATCTAAAGTCTTGATGCACCCAGGCTTTGATTATAGAATTCAGGACAATTTAAAGGAATCAGATTGTGGAAAAAAATATTTATGGCTAATTGTAATTCAACTGAACTTGAATCCTTATCTTTTTCTTGTTTTACGAAAATATGACTGACTAAACATGGCACCAGGAGTGTATACTTTATATATATATATATATATATATATATATATATATATATATATATATATATATATATATATATATATATATTCCAAAATGTTTCATTAAAATACAAGCAATGATGAACTAAAATTATAAAATGCCATTAATTTATATACTAGGTAGGCCTACAATGTCACACAGCCACACTTACCGGTGGTCTGTGAATTCTCCAAAAAGCACGTTCTTGGCTATCCATTATGGACTTATCTGTTCTTTTTCTTTCTTTAGCAATTCTTAAAAATAATTTATATGGTTCTTTTATACATAAAAATTGATTTTAAACTGAATGAAAACTTTTTAAAATTATTATTATATAAATCAACTATTTTATAATTATGTAAATCAAAAATTTAAGACAGTGCTAAACTAAACAAATTTATTATAAAATAGTAACATTTTTGCTAAAAAAAATCTCAACCTTTATAGACCCAACCCACATTATAATCTCTATTTTCTCAGTAGATGTCTTTATAATTTTACAATACTTTGCCTCCCGCCAAGAGATTAGTTTGTCATGTACACAAAAATCATAGATTCTAAAAATGGTATGTAATTTTGAATACAAATGTAGAAAATTTTATGCGGTAAATGTGCTAAAAATCTGAACACTTTTACTATTTAAAAAACAAATGAAGGGTTAAGGGGTCATCCATAAAAGACGTCTTGCTTTTTTTGACGATTTTTACCTCCCCCCTGTCACACATCGCCACAAAAACCCAGACCCAGTTTTTTTTGTGTGAATTCAAAATTAGATCTAGTATCATACACATTTTTCTTAAATTATACCTCCAACTAAAGAAAACGAAAATATACAATTCTTGTTACAAAAAGATATTATTTATAAACATTTATTTTATAAGGAATGATCCTTAGATTTTTTTTTATATTTTAAAAGTAGTAAAGAAAAATATTGTTAAAGCTTTCTTACTTTACTTGGTCTTGAGCTTGAGTGACAATAAAATTCCATTTATCACACAACATTGTTTGCAATTTGGTCAAACTTGCCTTAAAAAAAAAGGTTAGTTTTACTTGATATATTTGTAAACACTTATCTTATTCATTTATAATATTATTTTTATATAACAGTGAGGATTGGTATGGCCTTTTCAGTGCAATCGTGCAATAGAAATGTATTTTATTTTTTGTTTTTTAATACTTAAATTTTAAAATAGATGTGAACGCAAACAATGTGTGTATAATAGAGCAGAAAATTAGTACTTTATCAAGGAAACATTGATTAATTTTTTTTTAATAATTAAACATTTAAGTCAGATTTTACATCACGCTAAATTGTCACTGAGTTGTGACCTACATAGTTTGAAAAAAATCAGCCCAGTAAAAGGTATCTTTTTTGAGCAGTTGGAAATAGGGTAAAGTACTACTTCTAGTCATGGGAAATCACTCAATATGTTAAAGATTCAAGGGAGTAAGATCTTATTCATCCTAACTGAAATGGTACTTATGTTATTTGTATTTTAAAAACTGGAAATTGAGTAACGTACCACTTCCGGATATCAGAGGGTCACTTCAAATTTGAGAGTAATTAAAAAATAACATCCTACACTTAAATGAAATTTTTTCTACCTAACGAAACACAAAGTGTAGTAAGTACCACTTGCAGTTTCCAGAAATCACTCAAAGTCGATAGAAAACTACAAATCTGATATAATACTCAGGTAAGAAATTTAGTCAGTACTCAAATTATCCTGTTTATATATACATAGACAGGCAAAATTTAAAAGTTAAGATTTTTCAGAGTAAAAAAATGTCTAAATATCTGTTGATTATTCAGCATGATTACAATACTTTCTCTATACTCTGTAAACAAGAAAGTGAAAGCATTGAAACTAATAATTTGTTAAAAGATTTCCTAGTAGAATTTATGGTGCTTAGTGACACTTGCACTACACAAAATCTAATGTAAAAAAATGTATCAAGTACCTGTTCATAATCCTCTAGCCCATGCTTTTGCTTATTACGCATAGAACGTTTAACTAGGTGGATTGCTGTAAAAAAAATTAAACAATCATCTTTTTGCAAATTTTGGTTTAAATATGTCCACCCACTTTTAAGTGAATCATGAAATTCAATCCCCGAATTTTATTAATCCTGAAACCATAATAGGAAATTTTTAAAATCCTAAAACAATTTTGATCAAAGAAATTGTTAAAATCAACATGATCTTTTAATACTAGTAAGATTGTTCATAGAAAGGTATTTAATTATATGTAATGCCTACACTGAGTTTAATAAATGTGTAGTCAGACATGTGTATACCCATTCAAACAAACAATCAAAACTAAAATAGTTAATATTTTGCAAAGATGAGAAGTTTTTTATAAAAAAAAAACCTTCCTTCAAAGCGTTGCTTATTTAATTACAGTGTGCGCTGCCACTGTATTACTCGGTACTGTATTTAATTACTTAAATAGTTATAGTTCTTTGTTGCAAAATTTCAGAAGTGAGCTATTTTACTTTTACAAAAAAAAAACAAGTTCAGAAACAACCATCCTTATATTTTAATACTTATGTTTGTATTTGTAGTTGACCTTTTGCATATTTCAGATTGTTGGTGACATTTTCCATTGAATTTTCGCAGCAAATTCTGAGTATTTTTTCGTTGTAGTCTTATTTATAAATCTTGATCACCTTGCAAGGTTAGGTGATTTAACTAAGAAATACTACTTACCATAAGCAACATTATCAGGCTCTGCATTTTGGGAAGGCCAGTAGTATGGTTTCTGTAAATACAAAAAAAAAAAACATTATACGCTCAATAGATTGAAAATGAATACCTAATGTTTCAGAACTTATTAATTTCAAAGACCTGATTTATTACATCACATTTAATACAATACAATATAATTTGGATATTTGTACTTGAAATCGATAGAGTGATGCATCTTCTTTAACAGTCAAATTTTTCTGATCAGTAACTGGAAAAATATATCCATAATGGCAAAGAAGCATTGCCATTTTAACAGCTTCCATGTGATCCTCTTCAGAAATCTTTAATCGTGAAGCCAACCATTGTATTAAATCACTGCCTGTAACATTTAACAGAACATGTTAACCACACAACAATTAAAGAGTCCTGCTCTACCATGCCCCCCCTCTACCTTGTCCCTCTTCCACCATGTCCTTCATCTACCATGCCCCCTTTCTACCTTGTCTCCCCCCCACCTCAATCATGTCTCCCCATCTATTATGTCCCTCCCTTCTACCACATTCCTCCTTGTACAATGCCCTGCTCTGCAATGCAGTTTTACATGCCCAGTTTTACATGCCCAGTTTTACATGCCCTGCTCTACAGTGCCCTGCTATACAATGCCCTGTTCTACAATGCCCCTCACTTTTTAAAATTCAGGAATTGGCAATGAATAAATAGTATTACTTACCACTGAACACTGATGGGATGAAAGTAAGGAATGTTTTTTGACTACGGACAGGTACACCTGACTTCAACTGCTGCATCTCTTGGACAAGTTTTTCCATCTAAAACAAACAAAATATTGAACTTCATTTTCTTATATTAGTTTCTAGGTGGCCAGTTGTTGCTTTATTAAAAACGAATTGAGGATAATTAAAAGTTAAAATCAATAAAACTTGTAAAAAAAATATTATAAATAATAATTAAACAAGCTTGAAAGGTATTTATGTTAAGCAAATTTAACTTAAGTTTGAAAAAAAAAGGTTTTATAAAGTAATTGAAAAATGTAATTTACAGAAGCTTATTTGAAGGCCTGCAATATTTTATTGTTTATTAGAGTTCTCAAATAAAACTGTCGATCACAATTTTTTTTATTACATTTTACAATAAGTACTATTTTCATAATAAAACATAATTGCTTTGACTTCACATATTTTGGATCACATATGGAAAAACTACATTGACTTAAAACCGGAGAAATGTGATGCTGTATAAAGACGAATAAAAGATGTGGGATCGTTTTTAAATGGTAAATAATACTGCGCAAGTTCCGCCTTCAATATCAAAGGCTAGTCACCCCCGCTCCGCGCACTTCCAAAACGACTGCGTCAAGGTCTATTTCTGTTAAAAGCCTTTGATTAACAAAACTGTCTCACTCTTTAAAATAAATTTACTGTTCACAAAAATCATTACCCCCCTCTCCCCGTTGTGCGTGACGTCATCTACGAACGATCCCGAAAGCTAGTCAGCATACATCAATTCAAACTTATTTTTATAAGTTTTAACTAAAAGTTTTACTAAAATTACAATAATTACAACTAGATCTAGTTTTGATTAATCTTTAGAAAATATGTTCATTGTTTTACCACTTCATTATTGACTTAACAATGGAGAAAAGTGATGCTGTATACCGACGATTTAAAGATGTGGGATCGTTTTTAAATAATAAATAATACTGCGCAAGTCAATTTTAGCTCATTATGACCCACCCCCAACCCTCCCGCCTTCAATATCAAAGGCGAATCACCCCCGCACCGCGCACTTCCAAAACGTCTGCGTTAAGTTCTACTCATTTCTTTTAAAAGCCTTTGATTAACAAAACTGTTTCACTCTTTAAAATAAATTTACTGTTCACAAAAATCATTACCCCCTAACCCTCTCCATTATGCGTGACGTCATCTACTACCAGTTTTTATTCATCTTTAGAAAATATGTTCATTTATTTACAAATAGTCACATGGGACGGTCAGCTGACCACTGAGGCGTGGGCCAGTAGTAAGATTAGCGGCTGTTGATAGGTAGCGGTTAACAGACGATCGTAATATGTAGAGCTAAGGAACAGAAAGTTAGTCTTAGTGTTAGGATTGGTCATGTGAGTGCGTAGTGAATAGTAGTACAGTGAACAGCTAGATAGACGTAGTAATAGCAGTAGTAAAAAGTATACAGTAAAGAATAGATTAGTTAGGTTAGGTAGGAAGATGATTATAACTTTGAATAAAGAACATTGTATTTTGAACTTGAACGTGTGTTGTATATCTCTGTCATCTCAATTCATCGACCCCACTCTCACATCTGAGTGGTTGATATTTATCCCCTCTCACAACTGGTGTGACAAGAAGATCTAACGATCTAATCGTACTCTCACACGTGTTAGCTCTTTGATTTTATGATGTGATAATATGTTCAGTTTCTTCTAGCTTAGGAAACGCAGACCGTAGACCGTAGGCCCTACTCACAAACTATCGCGAAGACCATTTAGGACGTTAATACTTGTAAATAGTTCAACGCAAAAATGAGGGCATTTTGCCTTCAATTCTATTAGAATCCGTGTTTCGGGATATTTAAAATCGATAAGGTTTACCAACCGAAAATGCAGTCAAACAATCGCACAGAATACCTCGCGAAATGAAAAGTAGGCTGCATACTAATTCTAGACTATACTAAGTTTTCAAGAAATAATATTAATAATGGCATTTGACTGTGAGATAACCCTGTTTATAAAACAAAGCAAAGGAGATGCGTCAAAGTAAAAAAAAAAACAACTAATACAATGGAAGGTTATATCCCCCCCCCCCTGTCGAGTTACTCCAGATTGTGAAGAGAGTTCCTTCCAGGCACACCCCCCCCCCCCAACGAAATGAAGTTTGCATAGAAAACATACTTTAAGTAATGCCCCCCCCCCCCCGGAACTTATTTCAACGACTTTTTGCACATTTTTTTTTTACTTGAGCAAACTGCTTGCGTAGAACGCATGAATATAATTTAGAAAAACGTACCCAAGAAGTTGGGAACCATTGAGCATAGCAATGAACACGATTTTCTAAGAGTTTGGCGGCGTATTGTGAAAGACGCTAAATATTGCTTTCTATTAATGGTTGTTGCAAAACAAACTAGTTATTTAAAGCAAGAAGGTTACATTGAGCTAGGTTTATAAATGTATGAATTTTTTTCTTAGTAAGGAAGGTTGCGAAATAAAACCATCTGCAAGTATCGAGCGGCGAAAATCAAACAAGATGTTAGTTAGCTGTGTGTACATACCTAATGTGTACCAAATGCGTATATATACTCAGACAAGTCTACTCTATAACATCATTACTGAATTAGTACAAAAGCATAAAACAAAGAAAAATCACTTTTTTGTTTGATTATATATATATATATATATATATATATATATATATATATATATATATATATATATATATATATATATATATATATATATATACACACTAGCTGTCCCGGCCAGGCCCTGCCTCTGTGAAAAACCTATCTGTAAGGGGCCATGACGTGTGTTTAGTAATCAGCATATACCCGGCATTGCCCACCCTAACAACAACCAACCAAAACAAATACACAAAAAAAAAACCGCAAACACAAATACAAAAACACAAAGAAAGCACAACGAAAAAGCAAACGAAAACAAACCAAATTCAAACCCAACCACAAACGTAACCCCAACCCAAACACATAGAAAACACAAACGCGAACATAAACGTTAAGTGCTCGCAGTCTATCCCGGGGCGTCAAATCGCACCATGCTGGGGCGCCGCCCGCGCGAAATTGATTTTTTTTTTAGCTGAAACATCCCCAGAAGTATTCTCAACAACTTCTCAAAGTTTCATGGCGATCAGATGAAAGGTGTATTAATACATAAAAGACAAAAATAAAATCTGACGAAATATATTAGAAGGGTTCCATCAAGGCTTTACCAGTCCTATATTCTTAGTCTTAGACGCGTGACCCTGTTTTCTAAAACTGAGTTATTTAAATGTAAACAATGCCTGCGCTTGGACCATATTTATCGGGGCACGGGTTCCTACATTACTTCCCAAAAAAGACCAGGGCGCCAAAATCGCACCTGCCGGTTTTTTATCTTGTGAGCGCCATGGTGCATAATTTCGTTTTAAAAACAGTGCGATAGACTATGGATAAGAAAGGTCTTTAACTAAATCGATTCCGAGCGTCCTCAGACGCCCCGACGGGATGCTATTTGGCGCCACGGGCCTTCCCGTGTTAGCTATGGCGCCTACGTTCGTTTAAGTGAGTGCATAAGACTATGAATAAGTTGGGGTACTATAGTCGTTTACTAAGTTGAATCAGGCGGTTCCGCCGGCGCCCCAGCATGGTGCGATTAAGTGCCACGGGCTAGACTGTGAGCACTTTGTGTTTATGTTTGTGTTTATTTGCATTCTTTTGAGTTATTGTTTGCGTTTGCGTTTCTATTCGTATTCGTGTTGGTTTATTTTGTTTGTGTTTTCTTTATGTTTGGGTTTGCGTTTTGTGTTTTCTTTGTGTTTGGGTTTGCTGAGTTTTCGTTTGTGTTATGTTGGCATTTTTTCTTTCTTTTTTTTGTGCTATGGTTTTGGTTATTTGTGGTTAGAGTTAAGTCAAAAAGTAATATATTCTTAAACCCGGGCAATGTCGCGTATATGCCGCTTAATAAACACACGTCTAAAATACATTTTTGGTAACGCTTGATGAAATCCTCTTAAAATATTGTGTCAGTCTCCTTTAAGAAAGTCGTCTAGCAACCCTCATTACAACATACATATATCAACTAAATTTAGAAATTAACTTCCTCCTATTCTAATGATACACACTCAAAATGAATGTCCACTAATCTTGATATAATTTACAAGGCTACCCGTAACAAAGCAAGAGCCGTCAATGTTTGCAAGTCAGCGTAGCTCTTTGTATTGTCCATTGTGAATAGAGAATTATTCCTTCAAAAACACAGTACTATTTGAAGCACTTCTTTCAATCAATTCAATTACTTATTCCGTCGCCATGGCATGCACTTGATTAATTAAATCGACTCACTATGGTACATAGGCTATTTATGTAATAACAATAACGGCGATGTAGTAGACGTTTGCTACACAAACAATCGCCATTCTTCATCAGTCATCTGAATGTATGGCGCCTTTTCTAGCTAGCTTTAGCGACTTTTTCAATCTTTAGTTTAGCAGACGACATGGTCGATGTTTGTGTTATGAAATACGGTTAACTACTCCCGCTGTAATGATTATTGGCTGTTTTTTTTTTCCTAATCAAAAGGTGTATGACAAAAAATGTGAACATTTTATAACACTATTTTAAATTTGCATGGGAGAGTTATAGAGTACCTAATCGTCCCTCTCCATTCAGATACGAATTCCGCAAATACCTCTGGACATTGTTTAAAGTAAATTAAAGCACGATTGCGTATGTTAAGGACAGTACCACTTGGGGGATGATTGAAAATCGTGATACTGAACCAGCGGTTTAGGGGTTGTCCTTAAATGTCATCACACTAGTAGGGGTCTGTAATTTTGTGACGGTGTGTGATGAGAGGAAAGGGGTGTGTGTGTGTGTGGGGGGGGGGGGGGGGTCAGATGGTGTGACGTCATACTTTTTCATTATAAAAAAGCAATGTTAGGAAACGAATTTTAGCCGTTGTTTCGCGTTTTAATAAATTATAATGGAAATTGATTAAAATTAAAATACTCTATGTTGACACAGTTCACACAAGATTTAGGAAAAATATCGTATTTTAAGAAAAATTCAAATGCATTTTTAGGGG